GCAAAGTTTGAAGGTGTCAGATGCTGCTGACGACCCTGTGTGGAGTTGGATGTATGTGGAGGTGCATCAGCTTGAGACCTAGGAGATGTGGGGTGAAGTTGTTGAGAAGTCGATGTTTTTGCTTGCCTCGCTATCCCACCTTGACGACGCAGTTCCCCACTTTGACGCCTGAATTCCACACCTTGACGACTGGGTACCCCGTCTTGACAACTCGATGTTTTTGCTTCTTGCCTCGCTACCCCACTTTGACGCCTGGATCCCCCACTTTGACGCCTGAATTCCACACCTTGATGACTCGGTACCCCGTCTTGACAACTCGATGTTTCTGCTTGTCTCGCTACCCCACTGTGACGCCTGGATCCCCCACCTTGACGCCTCGACTCCACACCTAGATGCCTCAGTGCCCCACCTGGTTATCTCCCTCCACGATTCTGCCATACAAAACTGGTGTCTGTATAGAACTGGGGGCTCATTGCTTGTTATGCAGCTCCAAGTCTGTTCTGTGGAGGAAAGACAACGGATGCTAATGCTTTTCTGGGAACAAAGGTCATCTTGTTTTATCCTCTCCTCGCTGTACCTGAAACATGTAAATCTCTTGATAAGAAGAGCCGTACAGGTGGCTCGCTAGGACGCAGTAGTTTCCAGCGGAAAAGCCAAGAAGTGTCTTTATGGTGGGTTGGAATCTCTGAATCTCCCAGATAATAATTCTCAGGTGTCAGTATAATACCAATGCTCATGGGTTTCACAAGATGGTAAACGTCAAAGATATTGATGGAATATTGCTTAAAGTGGCGTAAATTCATACTCACTCACTCACTCACTCTCCAAGATGGTAACCATCTAAAACTTACGTTACTGGCACCAGCACTCCCTGATATAACTAACCTTCTGTTCAAAGCGCTGTAAAACCTAACTCACTTACTCCATAAAGGTCGTCAAAAAGATAGGACAATTGAACGGTTGCACATTAAAGACATATCCATGATGCAAGCCTTCAATTTTACTCTCAAGGGCAATACGATTATGTTCAAAGTACTTCCTATTTCATGGAAATGTGAAACTTTAATACCAGAGAATAATAAGTCTCCATTCTCAGCTGAAACAGATTAGGCGTAAACAGCTGTTGTTGATCCTATTTATGGTACTACTGCTGGCATTGGCATACAACAACCGATACCATACATCACGATACTAACATTTTAGTGACGACAATATATATTGACAAAGTATTGTGCACTGAAGCTACGATACGATACGAATCCCGATATAAGGGTCGTGATACGATACGTATCATGATCCTAAAATCTATAAAATTCTAACAACTATAAAACACCTTAATATCAATCGGAAACCATTGTAAAGTATTTCGTTAAATTCCGCCAGCGTTTTTCAATGTTCATTCGGAAACGAGTTAATTAAGTTTATAGACGAAGTTTGTCAATGTTAATAACATGCGAGCGCTATGTCTGATACAGTTCTTGACGCAAGAATTTCCAAGAAAACGTTTACTTATGAAGGGAAAATAAGTAAGCATATATTTCAATCATCAAACAAAAGTAAGTTTTTTTTCTTGACAGATATCGCGATTCGGCAATATCCAAAGTAAAACATTGATGTGTCCTGGCCCATTTGAAGTATCGTATCGGGATATACAACAATGTAAAAGTTTGTATGGATTCACTGTATCGGCGGTTCATGGATCGATGCATCGATGCGTATCATTCATGGATGGAACCTTACATTTGGCTGAACACGGAGCTGCGAAAACAAGCCACAAGCGACTTTGAGAAAAACTTGTACAAGCTCATGAACAACTCGGTTCGGCAAAACGATGGAAAATTTGAGGAAACGGGTGACTGTAAAACTAGTGAGATCGAAGGAGGAGGAAATACTAAGGAAATAGATAGCCAGCCCGGCCTTCAACCGAAGTAAAGTGTTGGATGACGATTTGGTGGGGCTGCACATGAACAAAAGTCACATCCAATTGAATTGACTGGTCTACGTGGGGATGATTATCCTCGACTTATCCAAACACTTGATGTACGATTTCTACTACAACGAGTTAAAAAAGAACCAGTACGGCGACAAGTGCGAAGTGCTGTACACGGACACAGATTCCTTGTTGTTAGAAATTCGTGCCGAGGATGTGTACACGGACATGGAGAAACACATCCATGTTTACGACACCAGCCACTACTCGAAAGACCATCTTATCCTCAGCCAAGCCAACAAAAAAGTCCTCATGGAATACGTTGGATTAAAACCTAAAATGTATTCCATCCTCAAAGCCGCCTCCGCCGAAATCAGAAAAGCCAAAGGGGTCAAGAAATTGACACCAAACGAGGGATTTCAAATTATGGTATTCACACTTATGGCTATGGATACCAACATTCAGTAGAGGAGATTTAACATGGCGAGCTCGTCTGTAAATACAATGATGTCTCACGCTTGGGTGTGTGTAGGGGTGGGTGGTGGTGGTGGGTTTGAGGGAGGTGGTGTTCAATTTTTACTGGGTGTTGGGAGCAAAATTAAACCAAATTAAACCTATAGGTGTAAATGGTCAAGAACCGCTATTGTGTATACTACTACATGTAACAATATTTCGATTTGCGTGGCGATCCTTTGTTTACAGAGGTTGTACGGTTCCAGGTGCTGTCATCGAAGCCGATGGAGAGTAAACGATGCAGCCAGTTTGATATCTAAATATGTACTGTCATAAACCTTACTGTCGTACTTATGGAAAAATATATATGTATCAATGTAAATCTTTGTGTAGAGCGCACCAGGAACCTTGTGTAAGGCCAGATCTTCTTATTATGAACATGCGCGTTTGTTTACAAAGAAGAGAAAGGTCCCGTCACGTGATATGCAAATTAGCCTGTGGCAGTGATGTTATGCTAAGTCATCACTGAGCCGGAGTGTTTGGAAGGGTAACGACGTTGTAATGTAAGGGCGATAACTCGCGTAGTCGTTAAGTTTCCCGTATTCGTACATTAAAATTCAACATCGTGCTCTGTTGTCCCACAATGTTATTCATACCAGAAACTTGTTACATTGTTAGACATTTTCAACTATATTTACCATCCCAGCTTTCCAGACGTGTTTACATTTGTCCTTCAGTTATTTATTTTTGTTTGTTTTTCAGGTATATGATCATGCGATGTAGCTGTGCCATCGTCCTTATCCATAATACGTTTTGTTATGTTATGTGTTTTTACTCACATGATCACACACAGTTATTTAAACCAGCGAATGGTCAGGTTTTAGGTGACTTCTACACTTGTATCTGTTCAAGTCAAAATATTGATTACACAACATGTACAGTCTCGTTTCCTGTTGACTGGGTTCCGTCCTATTGCGCAACTTAGTACAATAACCAGTCCAGCATTTTGCGACCAATTCATTTAACTGGATGTATAAATATTAATCAGTAGTATTTGATACATCTAAGCACTTGTATATTGCAACACTACGCTCCTTCTAATCCTTGCAAGCACGTCGTACAGCGTGCTCTGTCGTACAGCAAGCTCTGACAAACGGAAACATGGAAATCGTGGAAATCTCAAAACGAGGCTCTGCCGCTAGAAAAGTTTGGCGGTCTGGTACGGACTTAATATTATATCAATCACATTGTGCGTTACAGAACTACACTGAATAAGCACTAAAACAACACATAACAGGTGTAACCAGTGAGCCAGATGCATTGTGAATCATTTTACGACCTCATCAAACTGGGGCAGTCTGTGACGTCTTAAGAAGTGAAGGTCATGCTGCCTACACCTCGCCATAAAATATAGAAATACGATGTTATTAAAATTCATTTGTAAATACCATTTCTTATGAAACAAGGAATTGGAATTCAGTGTAACCATAGTTGTTTGTGATGTCTATTTTCCCTTCCACACGAGAAAATGCGGATCGGCTGAAAAGTAGGTCATTGTCTAAATAGGTTAATGAGACTCATGTTTCGGTTTGTGTCATGTGCTGCTCCAAATGTGTCCTATATACTGCATGCACGTCTACGCTACAAAACCGAGATCACGCGTTGTACATAGCGCGTTATTGACTGAGGAATTCCTGCATATGATGTCTACTTTTGACCATTAAATAAATACAGGTTGTGGTAATAATGTTTTAGTATTGATGTTGGTGTTGTTTTTTTGTTTTTCATGTGTATTTGTACGCAAGGAACTCAAGACTGATTGAGTACATGTGATTTAATTGTCGAAATTATTTTAATCGCCGAACTCTATATACAACCTACCAACAACGAGATTTCTTCAGTTCGTGGTGTAATACACTTCCGAGAGAGAAATGAAGTTATCAATGGCAGTAAATGAGAATCTCCACATGTTTAAAAATAAAAAGCTTGTGATTCAATCTTATCGTCTGCTTGCAATTTGCATAAGATCGTATTGGTCCTATCGTCGGTTTCTCTGCAGTTACTACGTATGTGGTCGGAGGGGTTTAACAACAATAATTTTATGAAACTTTAGTTGGTAAGTCTAACCCCCTTTAGTGAAGCCATGCATAGGTGGTGACGTTAGCTGCAGTGGGTAGTCTTTCAGATGGCTGACCATATTGTAAAGTTTGAACAAACGTTGTGCGAAGGTGATAGATGGAGTTGGTGATGGAGTTGTGTCCCTTGGCAAATTTAGGATCCTGGATTTGGTTCAAATCCTAGACTTTTGCAACCAGATTTCGCAAAGGAGAGTTATTATGTATTTAGTTGTTAATTTAGGCTTACAAACCAAACTTGCATCTCTGATTATTTTCATGTATGTATGTTTTTATTTATTCTAAATGTACCCAATCATGAAAAAATCTAGAGCCTACAAAGGCGATGAAGGATAACAAGTGGTTAGTGCTTGTATATTGAGGCACCCAGACCACAGGCCCTTTGCGAAGATTAAAGATTAAGTAAAATAATTTTTGAGATGACCCCGACTCGAAATGCCTCACAGTACAATACATTATGTCATATACACCTGGGTCAATATGAAAGGACTTTGTTCCATCAGCTATCTCCATGCCTAAACCTATCTGTGTCACCCTTTGATATTGTATCATATGACTTCCGACTTCACGTACAACATTTGCGAAAGTTTGTCAAAGTCCGTGTCAGTTGACATGACGTAAATGATTGTGACCACCGCGACAGTATCTATCTGCTTTCCCGTTATAAACGGCTGTAGTGGAGATAATGGAATTTCAACTAAACGTCAACCTTCTTTTAACAAATTAGGTAATATGAAATTTCTTACGCTTAGACGTCCTTGAATATACTCGGTAGTGCACGTGGTACATTTCCAGGAAAAGCGGCGTTTCTCGGAATTGGTGTAAGGTCATTTGCCCGGCTTACAACATTTGGATTTCCAGAATTCACTGGCCTCAAGAACACCAGCAAATTAGAGACAAATCTCTGTAGGAGTTCCCCCTTATTTACAACATAAAATGGACGAGGGTCGTTTGAAAGAAGCGAAAAGGTTTTTCATGGGGGAAAATATGAAATCGGATGCTGTCATAGAGGTGGAAGCCCACGAGTTTCAAGTGGACATGAACATAATCTCTCTGGCATCCTCGACACTGGCCAATGAGTTCCAGCCACATCCAGACCCAATCTCTCCTCCGGGCGAAACTAACAAAGCGGTGGCCAAGTTGGTCGGACCAGTTGACCACATCTTGGACATGCTGACCTTCATCTACCCCAACTTCGGGAACGTTGTTAACAAACACAACGTCGAGTACCTGCTTCAATTGGCTGTGAAGTACAAGCTGCTATTTCTGCAAGAGGCGTGTGGAAAATATATTGTAGAAGCGCTATCTCGGATGCAATGCATGTGCGATTTGCCTGCCTACAGAAAAATGCAGTGGTACGATCGACCTATTATGGAACGTCTCGTGCGATATTTCGCGTTGGCACACCAAACTGACTTAGTGGAGGCAAGGAAACGTTGTATGGATAAGTTAGTAATACACCCTTACAGTGAACAAAGGAAATATAAGGACAAAATATTAGTACCGACACGAAACATTGCGGCGTTCAAGCAGCTCGATCCTACTACAAGAGGGGAGATAGAGCGAAACCGAGTATTGTACCTAGAAGGTAAGTTTTTGTTTCATGCATGATAATGACATTTGACTGGACAGGTGGAGTTGACTGCACAATTAGAGAGGAGTTGACTGGAAAGGTACAGTTGACTGGACAGGTGGGAGTTGATTCGACAGGTAGGTTGACTGGAAAGGTAGGGTTGACTGGACAGGTGGGAGTTGACTGGACAGGTAGGGTTGACTGGAAAGGTACAGTTGACTGGACAGGTGGGAGTTGACTGGACAGATACAGTTGACGGGACAGGTAGGGTTGACTGGACAGGTGGGAGTTGACTGGACAGGTAGGGTTGACTGGACGGGTACAGTTGACGGGACAGGTAGGATTGACTGGACAGGTGGGAGTTGACTGGACAGGTGGGTGTTGACTGGACAGGTAGGGTTGACTGGACAGGTGGGAGTTGACTGGACAGGTAGGGTTGACTGGACAGGTAGGGTTGACTGGACAGGTGGGAGTTGACTGGACAGGTAGGGTTGACTGGACGGGTACAGTTGACGGGACAGGTACAGTTGACGGGACAGGTAGGGTTGACTGGACAGGTGGGTGTTGACTGGACAGGTAGGGTTGACTGGACAGGTGGGAGTTGACTGGACAGGTAGGGTTGACTGGACAGGTAGGGTTGACTGGACAGGTAGGGTTGACTGGATAGGTGGTAGTTCACTGGACAGGTGGGGTTGACTGGACAGGTGGGAGTTGACTGGACAGGTAGAGTGGAGTTGACTGGACAGGTAGTGTTGACTGGATAGGTGGGAGTTGACTGGAAAGGGGAGTTGACTGGATAGGTAGGGTTGACTGGATAGGTGGGAGTTGACTCGACAGGTAGAGTGGAGTTGACTGGACGGGTAGGGCTGACTGGATAGGTGGAAGTTGACTGGAAAGGGGGTTTGACTGGACAGGTAGGGTTGACTGGACAGGTACAGTTGACTGGACAGGTGGGAGATAACTGGACAGGTAGAGTTGACTGGACAGGTAGAGTGGAGTTTACTGGACAGGTAGGGTTGACTGGACAGGTAGAGTTGACTGGACAGTTGGAGTTGACTGGACAGGAGGAGTGGGTGGGACAGATAGAGTTGACTCGACAGGTGGAGTTGACTGGAGACGTAGAGTGGACTGGACAGGACAGGTGGGAGTTGACTGGACGGGTAATTCACATTAACGTCCCTATCGCCAGTCCACGATAAACTGTGGGAGTAAAATATGTAAAATATACACATCACTAAGATCACTTTGTGTGACGGACCCAGGATTTTTCGAATAGACATTGTTTTTTTGTATTGTGTCGTTTTGCAACCAAGAGTGCATCGAAAAATTACGAACCACCTTGATTTCATGGCTATTTGTACGGACGCCATATTGCCGACGCCCCCCTTCCATTATTGTCCCTATACTAATGACCAGGCGTCCTCCAGGTACCTACGGTAAAGTGACAGACAAAGTGGAAGACCTCTGAGACGGGGGACACCAAGAGTATACAACCAACAACCCAAACAACTTCATCTGTACACGATGTGGCAACGACATCCCCGACGTGGATATAGTATATATATCTAGGATACACACGGTCGCTCTAGTTTATTTACACTTATGGACCACGTGTCAAGAGATTGTAACAAATCGTTAATGCCTTTTTCATCATCTACTGAATATAACTTTGTGACCATGTCTCGAGACGCTTATTATTTATGAGTGTTTTATACCTAGCTGTTTTATCTATCTGTCTCTTTATCCTTCCTATAGGATGCATCAACTATATTACTACCCATCCACCCATCCTCGTCTTCCTGTCTGTCCATCCCCATCTACTCTTTCCCCATCCGTCCTTTCCTGTCTGCTACCTATCCATCCATCAATCAATCCATCCATCCCACATCTTCTATCCACCTATCTACCTGTGAAGATTCGGGTTAGAATTGGTCTTCAGCAACCCATGCTTGTAGGAGGCGACCGGGTAGGTTCGCTAACTTGGTTGACACATGTCATCGTATCCCAAACGCGTAGGACGATGTTCATGATGTCAATCACTGGATTGTCTAGTCCAGGCTCGATTATTGACAGACCACCTCCTTACAGCTGGAATACTGTTGAGTGCGGCGTAAAACAACTAATTATCCCCATCCACTATCCTTTCGTCAGTCAGCCACCCATCTGCTATCTTTCCATCCACCCAACAATCTACCATCTCTCCAGCCATTCCCATCTGCTGTCTGTCCATCCATCCATCGTCTATCACAAGCCTCTATGTTGAAGGAACATGCAAGTTATAATACACATATGCACATTACATTGTATTTGTACATGCTTTCATATTTGTCATCAGTTTATAGATGCTGATACTGACTGTTGAGAAAATGTTGATTGCTGATGTTGTAGTACGTTGTCAACATGATACCGACATTTCGTAATCAACACGCTATCAGTGCGATACGGTCGTATAACATATCACTATCTGCGCACTACAAATCTAGTTTGGCCATGTGACCTATGTTAACATTCAGCGAGACTTTGCCCTGTAATGCATTATTCGCTGCAGTAGAGTTTATGTGAATGTGATCCGTTGTAACTATGTATGCGATGGTATTCACGTACGCAAGCTGACAAAAAATACGTTTGGTTCAGTTATAGTCGGTTTGAACCGATGAATCACAATCTAGCTCAAAATCGGTCTTTTCATTTCAACGCAGAATGTAATGAATCATCAGACCAACTCTGGAAAAAGTTTCATAATGTTTGTCTTCAAAATAAAGACGTTACTTAACAAACTATCATTATTTTGTTTTGTGAAGTTTTACCAGAGTTGAGTCACAGTACTACTAAGTTCTACTAACTGAACCAAACGTAGTCATGTCACCTTGCATACACGAATACTGTCCCATGTTTAAAAAAAGTTGCATTGCATGACATTCACATAAACTCCACTGCATCGTATAATGCACTAAAGGGCAAAGTCTCACTTATTGCAGCTGATATGTATCACTGTTGGGAGCTTACGCCACAGGCGAGACACTCGAGCGTGGCAGCACGGGAACAGAGGGAGTTACCTGAAACAACATTTTTAATTAGTGCATATACATACATGTATACAAACAATTTAACGTTCATTATTGTATGTTTAATAGCTTGTTGATTCGCTTTAATGCTTTAACCACCAGGCTACCCCACCGTCTTGTTAATTCAGCAATGTCCATGACATTCGTTTTTCCATTTCGTGGAAGCGGAAGTTTTCATAGTGATTCTTCTTTTGATATTGTATATATTGATATTTCACGCCTACGCACGCACGCACTTGAATGTTACTGTATTTTTTCTAGCTTGTTAATTCAGTTATGTTCATGACATTGTTATATTTTCGAATAAAAACACTAACTATTCAGCTCGTTGTATCTATCATTATTTAACACTGATTGTATTATATCTGGTTGCACGCAATACAAGTAAGCGAAATGTGTCTACAGTGATGTAACCAGATTGTGATCGACGTGCCCAGGAGAAGGGGGATCCTTAACATATAGTCTCCTTTTGACCACACTTGGACATACGGCTGCAGCACCACCAGCATCGGACCTCCCCCCACTTGAAATTGTCGGACTAGCCCAACTCACGGCTTGACCAATAGCCCTCCTGGATTGGGCTACTCGGGTCGGATCTATCCGCGGTACGGGGGGTGGTTCAAGAGACTGTTTACAGCATACAGTAGTGTGTTCCCGGTCTCCATATATGTATGTCCTTGCTTTTGAGCTCACTCTGTCACACTTTAAAGGCGTTTTCTTGACCGCAGTATTGTTCTGTGGATTTTCCAATTCCACAGCTTTTCTCTTACGTTGACAGGCACCTTCCATTTTGATCTGAGGGTGTTTGGTTTCCGATAGTTCCACATCAGACGGCGGGCCGCACGGCCTTGCTCGTGTCTCTCTACGAAGTGTCGTCATTCCTCGAGAAGTTGGACAACCAGACAAAGGGGTCACAATTATCTATTGTCTTTTCCGACACTGCGGCCTACCGTTGGAATCTTTGTTGGGATTTGGAAGTGTTCCTGCATTTTTGTATTGGGACGAAAACACTGATAGATGAGACCCACGCATACACAGAGTTAGGTCAGTGGTAGATCCATCTGTGTCTGACGTAAGGTCAATAGCAGATCCATCTGTGTCTGACGTAAGGTCAGTGGCAGATCCTGTTGTGACTGATCTTATGTGAATAGCAGATCCAGTTACGTTAGGCGTTCCGGCAGATCCAGGTGTGTCCGGTGATAGGTTAATGGCATATCCGATTGTGTCTGACTTAAGGTCAATAGCAGATCCATCTGTGTCTGACGTAAGGTTAAGAGAAGATTTAGTTGTGACTGATCTTAAGTCAATAGCAGATCCAACTTTGTCTGATGTTTGCTCAAGGCTAGATCTGGTTGTACTTGTGACTGTGTCAGGAACTCTTGGCAACAGATCTAGGTCAGATTCACAAGACACCAGTTCCAGTTCCATTCGGGCAGCACAAAAATATGAATTTTCTTGATTATGAATCTCAGATTCAAATAACACTTGCCCCGTTGCTTGGTAAGGCACCGTTCCTCCTTTTGTGATGAGTTTCAAATCCATGTTCCAATTCATCCGTGGATGACCGATGTTCGAACTATTGAACTCTTCCAAATTTTCACTTACAGCTCTAATCTGTTGGTGGTGGCCAAAGTAGTCATTTCGAGAGGGCTTCACAGAAAGACAACACGATGGAGTCTGCAAACAAAACAATCACATTGTACTGCTACAATACATCTAGGGAATACAATATTGCATGCTGTAGGTAAAACGATGACATATTCATCTAACTGGGAGCTGCGAGAAGGGTATAAATATGGTTGGTTGGGTTGGTTGGTCGGTTGGTTGTTTAACGCCACACTCAGCAGTGTTCTAGCTATAAGGCGGCAGTAAATAATCCAGTGATGAACAGCATGAGCATCAATCTACGCTATTGGGATACGATGACATGTCAACCAAGTCAGCGAGTCTGACCACCCGATCCCGTTAGTCGCCTCTTACGACAAACATCGGTTGCTGAAGACCAATTCTAACCCAGATGTTCACGGGTGGTATAAATATGGCGTCAGTGAGGGACGAGATGGTGGGGTTTACTGCTGGTTAAAGCCTTCAAATGATAACTGCAGAAAAGTATCTCCTAAGGTTTAAAGAAGTATATAATTATCCTATCTAATACACACGTTTGTTCACGAAATCCGTTACCTGTTTGACCTCCACGTGGGTTGATGAAGCAAGGTGTGAAGGTGTCAGGTGCTGCTGACGACCCTGTGCTGGGAGGGCTGTATGTGGAGATGGAGATGCATCATCTTGAGACGTAGGAGATGTGGGGTGATCATCACCCCACCTCGATGACTCAATAACCCACCTTGAGAAGTCGATGTTTCTGCTTGCCTCGCTATTCCACCTTGAGGACGCAGTACCCCACTTTGACGCCTGGATTCCACACCTTGACGACTCAGTTCTCCGTCTTGACATTACGATGTGTCTGCTTGGCTCGCTACCCAACTTGGACGCATGGATTCTAGGGCTGGGACGGGTACTCGGGTACTCGAATCCGGGTCGGGTACAGCTGGAATCGAGTCCTATTTCTTGGAATCGAGTACCCGGAAAAGGAGAGAACTCTGTAATGACAAGGGCAGATAATAACTTGTCTTTTTCATAATTGACGCAACACTAATTTACATCATTGGTATTGTCCGATTAATGGGGGTTATTATTAACGAGTGTAATGTATCTGCGCATGAGCAGTGAGTAGTGAAAGTTACAGTTACAGCGGGAACAAAAGGTTCTGTGTTTTATATAGTCTCCCTGGTTTTAACGATAAATGTAAGTAATGGTGTTACTCTCTATATTGGTTTAACAGACGTAAATTTAATAGCCTAAGATCTGTTTTAATGTCTTATTGCCATCCTTTCGAGTTTTCTATAATAGTTTCTGTCAACTCGTGATTGAATATTCAGAGAGTTGACAGAAGCGCTGTATTCCTTACATTTCCGTAGATGCGGGTACTCGATTCCACTTTTTCCTATCCGTCCCAGCCCTACTGGATTCCACACCTTGACGACTCGGTACCCCGTCTTGACAACTCGATGTTTCTGCTTGCCTTGCTACCCCACTTTGACGCCTGGATGCCCCACCTTGACGCCTCGACTCCACACCTAGATGCCTCAATGTCCCACCTGGTTAACTCTCTTCGCGCTTCTGCCGATACAAAGCTGGTGCCTTTATAGAACTGTGGGCTCATTGCTTGTTCCTGCAGCTCAAAGTGTTTTCTGTGGAGGAAAGACAACAGATGCTTTCTTTTCTAAAGATCTGGGAACCAAGGTCATCTTGTTTCATTCTCTCCTCGATGCACCTGAAATAAGTAAATCTCCTGATAAGAAGAGGTATATACATGGCTCAGTCGTCGAGGACGCCGTAGTTTCCAGCAGCATAGCATAGAAGTGTCTTGTTCGTGTGTTGGAATCTCTGAATCTCCCAGATTATGATTCTAGGGTGTCAGTATAAACACCCATACTCATGGGTTTCTCCAAGATGGTGGGGCGGTGGGGTAGCCAGGTGGTTAAAGTGTTGGCTCGTCACGCCGTAGACCAGGGTTCGTTTCCTCACAATCTGTGGAGTCCATTTCTGGTGTCCCCAGCCGTGATATTGCTGAAATATTGCTAAAGGCGGCGTGATACCACACTCACTCACTCACTCACCAAGATGGTAAACGTCTAAAACTTCAATCACTGGCACTGGTGCTCCCCGATCGATATAGCTAACGTACTGTTTAGAGCAGCGTAAAACCTAACTCACTCACTTACTCCAAGAAGGTTGCTCTTTAAAGAAATGACGCTTTGTGATACAAGCTGTCGATCTAACGCCAATGAATGCTCTCAGGGTCTATACGATTATGTTAATTGTGCTTCTTAGTTCATGTGCTTATGAAACTTCAATATCCGATTTTTGAGTGAAAAGAATGTTGGTGATCATATTTATAATACTGTATCACTGAACAGCAGCAGTGACCCCAGATGTTTGCAAAAGTATCTTTCAACACTGATGCTTGCAATTGCTTAAAAGCCAAACCTTTGTTTTTTTGATGATATGAATAGCAATATTTTTTCTGCCTTGACAAGATCACATTATATTGTTAGATATGTTCTAATCGTCTGATGTAAACTGTAAACCAACTGGTCAGCTGGCCTCATACCTGATCCATTACGAAATACAGATCTACTGGTCTTCACTGTCTCAAGTCTGAGATACAGGTGACGACCCATCCCGAATCATGATTCGCCAAAAGCCATCCATTCAAGAGACAATTGAGCAGCGTAGTCATGACAACGCATGGCGTCATGGCCCCTTTAGCTCCTCGCAGCGTTATTTAGTTCGCTGAGCTCGCCGGGAGGGTGACGGCGTTTTCACTTGCTGGGAAGGAGCTTAGCCCTTGTTATGGAAGGGCGATAACTCTCGTAGCCGTTAATTTCCTCACATTCAATCAGCTTAAGCAGTCATCACACTCAATTCATGCTGGTTTTTCCGGACGGTCTTCGTACACTTCACACACTTAACAGCCATGTTAGAGGGAAGTGATATCCAGTTAAGTTCTTTCCAGCATTATATAGTAAAGTATCATGGCACTGAGTTGACATAAGTCAATTACATATTGTCATGTCATCAAAACACTACCCAATGATCAAAGGGTCTTGAGATAACATCTAAAAGTATTAATTAAGAAAACATTGCGAGAGTAATTAAACAGCTCAAAGCATTAAATAAAAAAAACATCTCAAAGTAAGGGATAAAAAAATCTCAAAATATTTACTAAGTAAGTATCTATAATTAAGGGAAAAATAATGAATGGCCTTTTTGACATTTTTATGGCCATTTTGACTTTTTGGTATGGCCATTTTAACTAGGGGTTGTGGCCTTTTTGGGCTTTTTTTGTGTGGCCATTTTGACTAGGGTAAGTGCGGCCATTTTTTCGCGTGGCCATTTTGACCTGTTCCCTGATATAAGCTGTGCCATCGCCCTTTTCCCAGTACCGTGATGGTTTTGACTGATGCCTGTTTATATCATTAACATTATTGGATGTGTTTTTACTCCGTGCAGTGGAGTTCTGATGTCTGCTTTTGACCAGTAAGTAAATATAATATTGTTCTATTTATGTTGGTGTTTTGTTGTTTTTTATATTATTTTTCAGAAAATATCCTTCAGTAATTTCTAGTTTTTATCTCGATCTGTTAATTTCAAACAAGTTATCCGAATGCAATGCAATGACCTGTCAGTCACTGGAGTTAACTCAAATTGTTAGTAATTGTTGTCGAATGTTTTGTTTGCTAGGAATTACTTATATTGAAGCTAAAATACTGGGCCTACACAGTCTGTAATACAGATCTACTGGTCTTCACTGTCTCAAGTCTGAGATACAGGTGACGACCCATCCCGAATCATGATTCGCCAAAAGCCATCCATTCAAGAGACAATTGAGCAGCGTAGTCATGACAACGCATGGCGTCATGGCCCCTTTAGCTCCTCGCAGCGTTATTTAGTTCGCTGAGCTCGCCGGGAGGGTGACGGCGTTTTCACTTGCTGGGAAGGAGCTTAGCCCTTGTTATGGAAGGGCGATAACTCTCGTAGCCGTTAATTTCCTCACATTCAATCAGCTTAAGCAGTCATCACACTCAATTCATGCTGGTTTTTCCGGACGGTCTTCGTACACTTCACACACTTAACAGCCATGTTAGAGGGAAGTGATATCCAGTTAAGTTCTTTCCAGCATTATATAGTAAAGTATCATGGCACTGAGTTGACATAAGTCAATTACATATTGTCATGTCATCAAAACACTACCCAATGATCAAAGGGTCTTGAGATAACATCTAAAAGTATTAATTAAGAAAACATTGCGAGAGTAATTAAACAGCTCAAAGCATTAAATAAAAAAAACATCTCAAATTACAGGATAAAAAAATCTCAAAATATTTACTAAGTAAGTATCTATAATTAAGGGAAAAATAATGAATGGCCTTTTTGACATTTTTATGGCCATTTTGACTTTTTGGTATGGCCATTTTAACTAGGGGTTGTGGCCTTTTTGGGCTTTTTTTGTGTGGCCATTTTGACTAGGGTAAGTGCGGCCATTTTTTCGCGTGGCCATTTTGACCTGTTCCCTGATATAAGCTGTGCCATCGCCCTTTTCCCAGTACCGTGATGGTTTTGACTGATGCCTGTTTATATCATTAACATTATTGGATGTGTTTTTACTCCGTGCAGTGGAGTTCTGATGTCTGCTTTTGACCAGTAAGTAAATATAATATTGTTCTATTTATGTTGGTGTTTTGTTGTTTTTTATATTATTTTTCAGAAAATATCCTTCAGTAATTTCTAGTTTTTATCTCGATCTGTTAATTTCAAACAAGTTATCCGAATGCAATGCAATGACCTGTCAGTCACTGGAGTTAACTCAAATTGTTAGTAATTGTTGTCGAATGTTTTGTTTGCTAGGAATTACTTATATTGAAGCTAAAATACTGGGCCTACACAGTCTGATCAGAACTTCTTTTATGGTCCTTAGTGCCTGCAGCTTTCCAGGGTTAAGGGCAAACACTGCTAGCAACTCAAAATTGATTGAGTACCGGTGACTTAATTGTCGTAATTTATCGCCGAGCTCTATATACAGCCTGCCAACAACCAGATTTCCTTAATTCGTGGTGTAATACACTTCCGGGAGAGAAAAGAAGTTAGTGGTATCAATGAGAATCTTAACGAGGTTAAAACAAAAATCATGCAAATTTAATCTTGCCATCTGCATGTAAGTTGGAATTTCATAAAATATATATATTGATCCTAACGTCGGTTTCTCTGTAATTACTACGTATATATGGTCGGAGGGGTTTAACAACAATGATTTTATGAAACTTTATTGGTAAGCCAGTCCCTCACCACAGCTGGTGATGTGAAGTCCAACCCCCCTTTAATTAAGCCATAGTTGGTGACGTTAGCTTTAGTGGGTAGTCTGTCAGGGTTAGGGCTCAGGACGTCGACCTTTGGTCCAAACCTACCTTTGGTCCAGGACTATATAGACTGATTATATTTAATCATGTTACAACATGCTACCTTTTACAGGTATTATAAATAGTTAGATAACAAAAATTTACAAAACATTACAAAATTTTACAAAATACGTACACATTTAAACAAGTTCATTATAAATTTATCAAAGATGTAACAGATGAGACGCTGAATCAGCAAACTGTCTAACAGTTACCATTCCATTTTGAAGCTGGTGTTTCAGTTCCAGGTCTCGGTATTTCTTCTTCTTCGTGGGTTGTCTTGGTCTCCAGCATATTGCACCCAAATTGCGTTCAGTGTTGGCCTGCTCTCTGGACAGGAACGTGATGAGTTAAAAAATCTTGGGGTGAGCTTTGCTGACGGTGCGTTTCATGCGGGAATGCCAACCTTCCACTGCGATCTGTGGAGATCACCTTCCACCCAGAAGTGGGTGATGTAGTCGTCTAGACGTTTAGATGAGTGTGGTTATCATTCACCATGGTGACAATGCCATTCATGGTTGACACTGTTGCATTACAGTCCTTCTCTGTGCATTTCCAGGAATTCCAGTCTCGTTTCCTCTTGTTGACTCTATATTTGAATCCAGCGACACATAAATAACTACCACCACGAGATGTAGGAATAAACTTATGTTCAAATGAGCATTAGCCATTCAGAAATTGAATGTACACTATGATGATGATGATTTAAGGTTTTACGTAGTCTTCTGGCTGTTGGCAATGTCGCCGACGGGGTAGGTGGGAGCTAGATTAATAATTAATAAGTTAATAATAAGGGATAAACCACCATACCCCCAAAAATATATATGATGGGGCGTTAACCTATGTGGAATTTTGAAATAGAAAACGTTTAAGAAACATGGGAGGAAAATAAATAAAAAGCCGAAGTTATGAAGGGAAAAGAGGAGAAAAACAGTGGTGATTGTTAATGAATGAGAGATAGAGTTATAACTAACAGTTAAGTGTAAAGGGGGCCAGGAAAGTGGGTGGGGAGGGATGGGGAGAGGGAAATTTGTAAAGAGGTATAGCATAGTGGGACATGTATATGGGTGCAGGTAAGCTGCATAGTTTAAATAAGGAGGCTTATAAAGAACGAAAAAGGGGTTAAGATGTTGGGGGGTTGGGGTGGAGGTTAAGGTGGGAGCGAAGAAGGCGGGGGCCGTGGCTGTAGGTTGAAAGCTTCGAGTGAGCTGGCAGGGGTGAGTGGCCTTGACCTTGTACGGGACAGGTTGGACTGCTTTGTTTACATTTAGTGGAGAGTTCCATGCGGCAAGCCAGCATAGTACCTCTGCCACAGGCTAGAAAAAATATTACGATTCGTCACATCTTGCAATGTCCATTTAATATAATGTACAGATTTCTTTTTTTTTTGACGAGTCTACACATCTAACTAAACATCTTTAATAGAATGGTTTAGTTTCACTGAGAAAATATCCAAAAACATGTAACACTATTTCGATTTGCGTAGCGATCCTTTGTTTACATAGGTTGTACGGTTCCACGTGCAGTCATCGAAGCCGACGGAGAGCAAACGATGCAGCCAGTTTGATATCTAAATATGTACTGTCATAGACCTAACTGTCGCAGTTGTGGAAGAATATATATGTAACAATGTAAGACATTATGAAGAGAGCGCCGAAGAGCTTTCGTGAGTCCAGTCTCTTCTTATTATGAATAATGAATATGCGCGTTTGATTACAAACAAGAGAAAAGTCCGGTCACGTGATATGCAAATTAGCCTGTGGTAGTGTTAAGTCATCGCTGTGCCGGAGTGTGGGCTTGGCTTGGGTGGGCGCGGACCTCGTAGCAGAAATAAGACGCTATGGATAAATGAAATTGAGTACACTATCATGTTCGTCAGCTGAAGAGGTTAGGTTGGTTGATACTTTTCCAGCGGTGGCTTGTACCTTGGATTTTGAAGTGTTTGTATGAGTTGTCATTTTGTGCGCTCAAGGTGTAACTAGTTGTATAAGTTTGTGTTTTGTTCAGTTTTAATGTATTGCCGCATTTAAATGTTGAGGACAACATTTCTCAAAGGAGGGGAGGATGTCGCCGGATGTATTTCCCTATACATTTGCGTATCTCTTACGTTATTCCTCTCTGCTCATTTACGAGCGCTTCTTCTATCACTCTTACTCTGGTTGTAATGCCAGTAGTATCTCGTGCATTACCTGTTCCGTGACATCTCGTGCATTACCTGTTCCGTGACGTAGGCATCTTCATATTTCATGTCACGCCACGGCCGAGGTGAGTTGATACACCCCTCGGCCATACATCATATTCTATTGATGTTCATGTGTATTTTTCAAGTATGTACCTTTTCTGTCTACTTTCTTTGTCATCCTCTAAACGTATTATGGTAAAGGTGAGCGATATCATAGTATTTATAATATCTATTATATTTCTATAATAAGGCATCGCGTTGCACGAAATTACTAATTAAACACTGGCACCAGCACGTAAGTAAGTGTGAGTGATGTCTGCTTCCTTTAATTTGCTCATAATATTCAAAGTGCAATATTTCATAAAATGCTATAAAGACCATTTTATAAATGGTAAAATTCGTGCAATCTTGATATTTGCCACTTCATGTCACGCCACGGCCGAAGTGAGTTGATACACCCCTCGGCCATACATCATATTATATTGATGTCCATGTGTATTTTACAGAATAAACAGATTTTAATTAACTACGCCTCAGTCCGATTAATCATCGGCCAGGACCCGCGACACTTCTCATTAAATATCCCCATGTACTTAAATGTGTCCATCATTATGGTTGTTTTGATCATGTTTTGACACGGTCGGCTTCCGTGTGTGATGTGTTCACTTCCATCAACCACCAGCCTTGTCATACCACGTCACGGGAGATTAGCCATGTGCTAAAATAACACCCAAACTTCAAAGCGTTGTGACATTGTGCAGAGGTGATAGATACTACATATCACTGTACAGAGTTGTGTCCCTTTGGAAAGTTAGGATCCTGTCTTTGGTTCAAATCCTAGACATTTGCAGCAGATTTCGCAAGGGAGAGTTTAGTTGATTAATTTAGGGTTACAAACCCGACTTGTGTCACAACTTAATGCATTTTCCCTTTTATGTTAAGTACACCCCATCGTGAACAAATTAAAACCTACAAAGACGATGAAGAAAAAAAACAGTTAGTGCTTGTATGTTGACGCACCCATCTGACTTCACAAAGTGAGTTCGGGGAATTTCCCCTGGGTCAATATGAAAGGCCCTGTATACCATCAGGTGTATGCAAGCCTGAACGTCTGTACAGTTGTCTCCCTTTGCTATTGTGTGACTACACTGACAACATATGCGCAAGTTATTTGTCTGCATTCACAGCATATCCTCCGTACGGCTACACACAGTCCGTGTCGATAGACATGACGTAAATGATTGTGGCCATGACGACGGTATGTATCTGTTGTCCAGTTGTAAACGGCTGTAAAGGAGTAAATGGAATTTTAACTAAACGATCATTGATCATTGCATGATCACAAATAATACTTCGACTTCCTGTCTGATCAACCAATTGGTGACATCGGTAGTGCACGTGGTACATTTCCAGGAAAAGGGGCGTTTCTCGGAACTGGTGTAAGGTGATTTGTCCACCTTAGAATATTTTGATTTCCAGAACTCACTGGATTCAAGAGCACCAGCAAATTAGAGACAAAACTCTGAAAGAGTTCACCCTTACTTACAACATAAAATGGCCGAGGATCGTTTGAAAGAAGCGAAAACGTTTTTCACGGAGGGGAATAAGACCTCGGACGCCGTCATACAGGTGGAAGACCACGAGCTTCACGTGGACCTGGTCATAATCTCTCTGATGACCTCGACACTGGCCAGTGAATTCCAGCCACGCCCAGACCCAAACTCTCCTCCAGGCGAAACCAACAAAGCTGTGGCCAAGTTGGTGGGACCAGTTGACCACATCGTGGACATGCTGACCTCCATCTACCCCAACTTCAGGAACGTCAACGTTGTTAATAAAGACAACGTGGAGTACCTGCTTCCATTGGCTGCGAAGTACAAGCTGTTGTATTTGCAACAGGCATGTGAAACCATTATTGTAGAAGCGGTGCCCCAGCTGAGTTATTCATCTCAACAGTCAACAATAACGAATGAAAACTACAACCAATCAGAGAATAAGGAACGTTTAATGAGATATTTCGTGTTGGCAGATAAACATAAACTAGTCGAAGTGAGAAAAATGTGTATGGATAAGTTAGTAAAATGCCTGTATAGCGAAAAGTGGTGTTCATATAACTATGTCGAAAATGTCGAATGTAATGTGAAACCAACACGAAGCACTGAGGCTTTCCAGCAGCTCGACCCTTCTACAAGATGGGAAATACTGCGAAACAGACTGTTTTACGTGGAAGGTAAGTTACAATTTCATGCTTGATAATGGAGTTTGACTGGACAGGTAGACTTGACTGGGGAGATGGAGTTGACTAGAGAGATGGAGGTGGCTGGAGAGGTAGAGTTGACTGGAGAGGTAGAGTTGACTGGAGAGATGGAGTTGACTGGAGAGATGGAGTTGACTGGAGAGATGGAGTTGACTGGAGAAGTAGAGTTGACTGGAGAGGTAGAGTTGACTGGAGAGATGGAGTTGACTGGAGAGGTAGAGTTGACTGGAGAGGTAGAGTTGACTGGAGAGGTAGAGTTGACTGGAGAGATGGAGTTGACTGGAGAGGTAGAGTTGACTGGAGAGGTAGAGTTGACTGGAGAGGTGGAGTCGACTGGAGAGATGGAGTTGACTGGAGTGCTGGAGGTGACTGGAGAGGTAGAGTTGACTGGAGAGATGGAGTCGACTGGAGAGGGGAGTTGACTGGAGAGGGGGAGTTGACTGGAGAGATGGAGTTGACTGGAGAGATGGAGTTGACTGGAGAGATGGAGTTGACTGGAGAGGTACAGTTGACTGGAGAGGTTGAGTTGAGTGGAGAGGTAGAGTTGACTGGAGAGATGGAGTTGACTGGACTGATGGAGGTGACTGGAGAGGTAGAGTTGACTGGAGAGATGGAGTTGACTGGAGATGGAGTTGACTGGAGAGGGGGAGTTGACTGGAGAGATGGAGTTGACTGGAGAGGGAGTTGACTGGAGAGATGGAGTTGACTGGAGAGGGGAGTTGACTGGAGAGATGGAGGTGACTGGAGAGATGGAGTTGACTGGAGTGATGGAGTTGACTGGAGAGATGAAGTTGACTGGAGAGGTACAGTTGACTGGAGAGGTAGAGTTGACTGGAGAGGTTGAGTTGAGTGGAGAGATGGAGTTGACTGGAGAGGTACAGTTGACTGGAGAGGTAGAGTTGACTGGAGAGGTAGAGTTGACTGGAGAGATGGAGTTGACTGGAGTGATGGAGGTGACTGGAGAGGTAGAGTTGACTGGAGAGATGGAGTTGACTGGAGAGATGGAGTTGACTGGAGAGGGGGAGTTGACTGGAGAGATGGAGTTGACTGGAGAGGGGGAGTTGACTGGAGAGATGGAGTTGACTGGAGAGATGGAGGTGACTGGAGAGATGGAGTTGACTGGAGTGATGGAGTTGACTGGAGAGATGAAGTTGACTGGAGAGGTACAGTTGACTGGAGAGGTACAGTTGACTGGAGAGGTTGAGTTGAGTGGAGAGATGAAGTTGATTGGAGAGATGGAGGTGACTGGAGAGGTACAGTTGACTGGAGAGATGGAGTTGACTGGAGTGATGGAATTGGCTGCAGAGATGGAGTTGATTTGAGAGGTAGAGTTGACTGGAGAGATGGAGTTGACTGGAGAGATGAAGTTGACTTGAGAGGTAGAGTTGACTGGAGAGGTTGAGTTGACTGGAGAGATGGAGTTGACTGGAGAGGTACAGTTGACTGGAGAGGTAGAGTTGACTGGAGAGGTACAGTTGACTGGAGAGATGGAGTTGACTGGAGAGATGGAGGTGACTGGAGAGGTAGAGTTGACTGGAGAGATGGAGTTGACTGGAGAGGGGAGTTGACTGGAGAGAGGGAGTTGACTGGAGAGGTGGAGTTGACTGGAGAGGTGGAGTTGACTGGAGAGATGGAGTTGACTGGAGAGATGGAGTTGACTGGAGAGGGGGAGTTGACTGGAGAGGTCGAGTTGACTGGAGAGATGGAGTTGACTGGAGAGATGGAGTTGACTGGAGTGATGGAGTTGACTGGAGAGATGAAGTTGACTGGAGAGGTACAGTTGACTGGAGAGGTTGAGTTGAGTGGAGAGATGGAGTTGATTGGAGAGATGGAGGTGACTGGAGAGGTACAGTTGACTGGAGTGATGGAATTGGCTGCAGAGATGGAGTTGACTGGAGAGGGGGAGTTGACTGGAGAGATGGAGTTGACTGGAGAGATGGAGGTGACTGGAGAGATGGAGTTGACTGGAGTGATGGAGTTGACTGGAGAGATGAAGTTGACTGGAGAGGTACAGTTGACTGGAGAGGTTGAGTTGAGTGGAGAGATGGAGTTGATTGGAGAGATGGAGGTGACTGGAGAGGTACAGTTGACTGGAGTGATGGAATTGGCTGCAGAGATGGAGTTGACTGGAGAGGGGGAGTTGACTGGAGAGATGGAGTTGACTGGAGAGGGGGAGTTGACTGGAGAGATAGAGTTGACTGGAGAGGGGGAGTTGACTGGAGAGATGGAGTTGATTGGAGAGGTAGAGTTGACTGGAGCGATGGAGTTGACAGGAGAGATGGAGTTGATTTGAGAGGTAGAGTTGACTGGAGAGATGGAGTTGACTGGAGAGATGGAGTTGACTGGAGAGATGGAATTGGCTGGAGAGATGAAGTTGACTGGAGATGTAGACTTGACTGGAGAGCTGGGGTTGATTTGAGAGGTAGAGTTGACTGGAGAGATGGAGTTGACTGGAGAGATGGAGTTGACTGGAGAGATGGAGTTGACTGGAGATGTAGACTTGACTGGAGAGCTGGGGTTGATTTGAGAGGTAGAGTTGACTGGAGAGATGGAGTTGATTGGAGAGGTAGAGTTGACTGGAGCGATGGAGTTGACAGGAGAGATGGAGTTGATTTGAGAGGTAGAGTTGACTGGAGAGATGGAGTTGACTGGAGAGATGGAGTTGACTGGAGAGGGGGAGTTGACTGGAGAGATAGAGTTGACTGGAGAGGGGAGTTGACTGGAGAGATGGAGTTGATTGGAGAGGTAGAGTTGACTGGAGCGATGGAGTTGACAGGAGAGATGGAGTTGATTTGAGAGGTAGAGTTGACTGGAGAGATGGAGTTGACTGGAGAGGGGGAGTTGACTGGAGAGATAGAGTTGACTGGAGAGGGGGAGTTGACTGGAGAGATGGAGTTGATTGGAGAGGTAGAGTTGACTGGAGAGATGGAGTTGACTGGAGAGGTAGAGTTGACTGGAGTGATGGAGTTGACAGGAGAGATGGAGTTGATTTGAGAGGTAGAGTTGACTGGAGAGATGGAGTTGACTGGAGAGATGGAGTTGACTGGAGTGATGGAGGTGACTGGAGAGGTAGAGTTGATTTGAGAGGTAGAGTTGACTGGAGAGATGGAGTTGACTGGAGAGATGGAGTTGACTGGAGATGTAGACTTGACTGGAGAGCTGGGGTTGATTTGAGAGGTAGAGTTGACTGGAGAGATGGAGTTGACTGTAGAGATTGAGTTGACTGGAGAGATGGAGGTGACTGGAGAGGTAGAGTTGACTGGAGTGATGGAGTTGACTGGATAGAAGAAGTTAACTGGAGAGATTTCAAACAAGAGTGCATCATAATGTTATGAACCTATTTCGCAACTATTTCTACGGACGCCATATTCCCGAATTATTCCCTTCCATGATGTTGACAGTCCCATTCATCCCTATACTAATGACCAGGTTCCATTTTCACAAAGCGATAGTAGCGCTAAGTTGATCGTAACTCCTAAAGTTAACATAGACTTACGACAGTCGTAGAGTTAAGATCGTTTTGTGAAAAGGTACCATGGCGTCCTAGAAGCATGTTGCCAGCAACGTCTCTTTCTCCATCCTCCAGGCACTTACGGTAGAGTGACAGACAACTTGGAAGACCTCTGAGGACGAGATACACTTTGTGGATAGCGACAACCCAGACAACTTCACCAAAACACGATATGGCAACGACATCTCCGACGTGGATTTAGTATATATGTCTATGATAGACGCGGGCGCTCTAGTTTATTTACACTTGTGGACCACGTGTCAGGAGATTGTAACTTCATTAATATCTTGTCATCACCTACTGAATATAAGTTTGCGAACATGACTCTAAACGCTGTTATGTGGGTGTTTTTTTAATCTAGCGGTTTTACCTATCAGTCTTTTTATCCTCCCATGCATCAACTATATTACTATCCATCCACCCATCCCCGTCTACCTATCTATCCATTCACATCTACTCTTTACCACCCATCCTTTCCTGTCTATCACCTATCCATCCATCCACCCATCCCCGTCTACCTATCTATCCATTCACATCTACTCTTTACCACCTTTCCTTTCCTGTCTATCACCTATCCATCCATCCACCCATCCCCGTCTACCTATCCATCCACCCATCCCCGTCTACCTATCTATGCATCCACATCTACTCTTTACCACCCATCCTTTCCTGTCTATCACCTATCCATCCATCCACCCCACATCTGTCTACCTATCTACCCGTGAAGATGCAGGTCAGCAATGGTCTTCATCAACTCATACTTGTAAGATCGGATGGTCAGGTTCGCTGACAAGGTTGACAGATATATTCGTATTCCAAAAGCGTAGATCGATGCTGATCATGCCAATCACTGGATTGTACAGTCCACACTCGATTATTTACAAACCGCCGTGTTACAACTGGAATACAGCAGTCAGCCACCCAACTGCTATCTTTCTACACACCCAACAACTCAACAATCTCCATCTATCTCTCTCTATATACATATCCATCCATTGACCTCTGCCGTCTGTCCATTCATAACCTTCAGTCGTTGGCAATCTATAGCCTGTTTTTATATTGTATTGTCATTTATAGTTCCAATATTTTAGATTAAATTACTAGTTTTAAATGGATATCTGTGATACACTAGTAGTTTTACTGTTCTTCGTCAACAGGTGTTTAATGTCTAACTTTATTGATCTTTAATATAATTATAAACTGTTCTCGTCACGACATGGCTGAAATATTACCGATGTGACGATAAATATAAACTCACTCACTCTGTCCATTCCATCGTCTGTCACACGTCTCTCTGTTGAAGGGACATGCACGCTATAATATACACATTATTTGTACTGGTTTTCATAGTCGTCATCTGGTCTGTTAGTAGATACCTATTCCACTATGTCTGTGTACTGATTGCTTGGAGAATGTGGTTGCTGATGTTGCAATACATTCTCAACATGATAACGACATTTCATACATGAACCAGCTATCAATATAATAACCTTGTGTTACCTATCACAGTCTGTGTACTACAAAATCTAGTTTGGCCATGTGACTTATGATAACATTTTAAAATGAATTAATAAATAAATGTTGCTTCAGGTAACTTCTAATTTTCTCTGTTCACGTGCTGCCACGAGTGTCTCCCGTGTGGCATAAGCTCCCAACAGTGATACATCTCAGTTGCAGTCAGCGAAACTTTCCCCTTTAGTGCATTACTCGCTGCAGTGGAGTTTATGTGAATGTGACGCGATAAAAATAATGATGTGAACATATTCGTGTACGCAAGTTGAAATGACTACGTTTGGTTTAGTTAGTGGTGAAACTCTCTTTCCCGTCTGAACAGACTGTGGAAGCGGAACTTTTCATTGTGCTCATTCAACTTGTGACATTATATGAATTATTTTATATATTTATCCACACGCACGCACGCACGCACGCACGCACATATACACGATTTAATGTTAGTTATGGTATATTTTCCAGCTTGTTGATTCAGTAATGTCCATGACATTCGTATTATCATTTTGTGGGAGTGGAACTTTTCATTGTGCTTATTTTTGTGCTTGTGACATATTTATTTTTTAGTGCGTGCATATATATGTACATAATTTAATATTAGTTATGGTTTCTTTTCTAGCTTGTTAATTCTTGAAAGAATGTCCATGGCATGTTCAAATAAAAACTCTAACTATCCAGCTCGTTGTATCTATCATTATTTAATACTGATCGTATATCTGGTTGCACGCAATACAGGTCAACGAAATGTGTCTAAATTGATGGAACCAGATTGTGATCCTCGTGCCCAGGAGAAGGGAGATCCTTAACAAAGAGTCTCCTCTTGACCACACTCGGACACGCATCTGCAGCACCCCCAGCATCGGACCTATCCCCGCTTGACATTGTCGGACTAGCCCTATTCACGGCTTGACCAATAGCCCTCCTGGATTTGGCTGCTCGGGTTGGATCTATCCGCGGTACGGGGGGTGGTTCAAGAGACTGTTTACAGCATACAGTAGTGTGTTCTTTTCCTCCATTAATGTACTTCCTTGCCCTAGAACTTACTCTGCCACACTGTAAAGGCCTTTTCGTGACCGGAGTTTTGTTCTGTGGATTTTCCAGTTCCACAGCTTTTCTCTTACGTTGACAGACACCTTCCATTTTGATCTGAGGATGTTTGGTTTCCGATAGTTCCACATCAGACGGCGGGCCGCACGGCCTTGCTCGTGCTTCTCTACGTGGTGTCGTCATTCCCCGAGACGTTGGACAACCGGACAAAGGGGTTGCAATTATTTCTGGTCTTTTTCGACATCGTGGCCCACCGTTGGAATCTCTCTTGGGGTTTGGTAATGTTCCTGCAATTTTGCATTGGGACGAAAACACTGATAGATGAGACCCACGCAAACTCAGAGTTAGGTCAGTAGATTCAACTATGTCTGGTGATAAGGCAGTAGTAGATACTCCTGTGTCTGACGTAAGGTCAATGGTAGATCCATCTGTGTCTGATGTAAGGTCAATGGTAGATCCATCTGTGTCTGACGTAAGGTCAATGGCAGATCCATCTGTGTCTGACGTAAGGTCAATGGTAGAGCCATCTGTGTCTGACGTAAGGTCAATGGTAGATCCATCTGTGTCTGACGTAAGGTCAATGGTAGATCTAACTGTGCCTGACGTAAAGTCAATGGCAGATCTAACTGTGTCTGACGTAAGGTCAATGGCAGATGTAACTGTACCTGACGTAAGGTCAATGGTAGATCCATCTGTGTCTGACGTAAGAGAAGATTTAGTTGTGACTGTTCTTAAGTCTATGGCAGATGCAGTTACGTCAGGTGTAATGTCAATGGCAGATCCAACGTTGTCTGATGTTTGGTCAAGGCTAGATCTGGTTGTACGTGTGACTATGTCAGGAACTCTTGGCATGAGATCTAGGTCAGATTCACAAGGCACAAATTCCAGTTTATCTCGGGCAACAGCAAAATATGAATTTTCTTGATTATGAATCTCAGATTCAAATAACACTTGCCCCGTTGCTTGGTAAGGCACTGTTCCTCCTTTTGTGATGAGTTTCAAATCCATGTTCCAATTCATCCTGGGATGGCCGATGTTCGAACTATTGGACTCTTCCAACTTTTCACTCACAGCTCTTATCGGTTTGTGGTGAGCAAAGTATTCATGTGAAGATTCTGAAGTTCGAGAGGGCTTCACAGACAGACCACACAATGGAACCTACAAACAATACAACTGTATCACGTTACATTGCTAGTATACATCCAGGGAATACAATATTGCATGTTGCATAAAACGATGACATATTCATCTAATTGGAAGCTGCAAGAAGGGTATAAATATGGTTGGTTTGGTTGGTTGGTCGGTTGGTTGTTTAACGCCACACTCAGCAGTGTTCCAGCTTTGTGGCAGCGGTAAATAATCTCGTCTGGACCAGACAATCAAGCGGTGAACAGCATGGGCATCAATCTACGCAATTGGGATACGATGACACGTGTCAACCACGTCAGCGAGTCTGACCACCCGATCCCGTTAGTCGCCTCTTACGGCAAGCATGGGTTGCTGAAGACCAATTCTAACCCGGATGTTCACGGGTGGTATAAATATGGCGTCAGTGAGGGACGAGAGGGAGGGGTTTACTGCTGCTTTGGGGCAGTGGGTTAGCCTTGTGGTTAAAGCCTTCAAATGATTACTGCAGAAAAGTATCTCCTAAGGTATAATAAAGTATATGATTATCCTATCTAATACACACGTTTGTTCACGAAATCCGTTACCTGTTTGATCATCACGTGGGCTGATGAAGCAAGGCGTGAAGGTGTGAGATGCTGCTGACGACCCTGTGTGGGGAGGGATGTATGTGGAGATGGAGATGCATCAGCTTGAGATGTAGGGGATGTGGGGTGATCATTACCCCACCTCGATGACTCAATAATCCACCTTGAGAAGTCGATGTTTTTGCTTGCCTCGCTATCCCACCTTGACGACGCAGTACCCCACTTTGAAGCCTGGATTCCACATCTTGACGACTCGGTTCTCCGTCTTGACAACTCGATGTTTCCGCTTGCCTCGCTACCCCACCTTGACTCCTGGATCCCCCACCTTGACTCCTGGATCCCCCACCTTGACGCCTCGACTCCACACCTAGATGCCTCAATGCCCCACCTGGTTATCTCCCTCCACGATTCTGCCGACACAAAACTGGTGTCTTTATAGAACTGTGGGCCCATTGCTTGTTCCTGCAGCTCCAAGTCTGTTCTGAGGAGGAAAGACAACCGATGCCCGGATGCTTATTCTTTTCTAAAGATCTTGGAACCAAGGTCATCTAGTTTCATACTCTCCTCTCTGCACCTGAAATAAGTAAAGCTCCTGATAAGAAGAGTGTATACCTGGCTCCGTCGTCTAGCACACCATAGTTTCCAGCAGCACAGGATAAAAGTGTCTTGTTCGTGTGTTGGAATCTCTGAATCTCCCAGATTATGATTCTAGGGTGTCAGTATAATACCAATACTCATGGGTTTCTCCAAGATGGTGGGGTAGCCTGGTGGTTACAGTGTTGGCTTGTCACGCCGTAAACACGGGTTCGTTTCCTCACAATCTGCTTACAAGCCAAACCTTTCTATTTTTGATGATATGAATAGCAATAACAAAAATTCTGCCTGGACAAGGTCACATTATATTGTTAGATATGTTCTAATCGTCTGATGTAATCTGTAAACCAACTGTCAGCTGGCCTCATACCTGATCCATTACGAAATACGGTTCTACTGGTCTTCAATGTCTCACATCTGACAGACAGATGACGACCCATCCCGAGACACGATTCGCCCAAAGCCATCCATTCAAGAGACAATTGAGCAGCGTAGTCATGACAAAGCATGGCGTCATGGCCCCTTTAGCTCCTCGCAGCGTTATTTAGTTCGCTGAGCTTGCCGGGAGGGTGACAACGTTTTCACTTGCTGGGAAGGAGCTTTAGCCCTTGTAATGTAAGGGCGATAACTCTCGTAACCGTTAATTTCCTCACATTCAATCAGTTTAACAGCCATCACGCATGCTGGTTTTTCCGGACTGTCTTCGTACACTTCACACACTTAACAGTCATGTAAGAGGGAAGTGATATCCAGTAAAGTTCTTTCCAGCATTATAGAGTAAAGTATTATGGCACTGAGTTGAGTCATATATAGTCTTGTCATCAAAACACTACCCAATGATCAAAGGGTATTGAAATAACATCTAAAATTATTAATTAAGAAAACATTGCGAGAGTAATTAAACAGTTCAAAGTATTGAATAAAAAAACAACATCTCAAAGTACAGGATAAAAAAATCTCAAAATATTTAATAAGTAACGATCTCAAAGTATCTATAATTAAGGGAAAAATAATGAATGGCCTTTTTGACTTTTTGGTATGGCCATTTTTGGCTTTTTTTGTGTGGCCATTGTGACTAGGGTCAGTGTGGCTATTTTTTCGCGTGGCCATTTTGACCTGTTCCCTTATATAAGCTGTGCCATCGCCCTTTTCCCAGTACCGTGATGGTTTTGACTGACGCCTGTTTATATCTTTAACATTATTGAATGTGTTTTTACTCCGTGCGGTAGAGTTCTCATGTCTGCTTGTGACCAGTAAATAAATATAATATTGTTGTATTTATGTTGGTATTTTGATGTTTTTCATATGTATTTGTACGCTAGCAACTCAAACTTGATTGACACCGGTGACTTAATTGTCGTAATTTTTCGCCGAGCTTAATATACAACCTGCCAACAACGAGATTTCCACAATTCTTGGTGTAATACTTCCGGGAAAGAAAAGAAGTTATCAGTGGTATCAATGGCATTAAGGAGAATCTTCACGGGATTAAACGAAAAATCATGTTATTTAATCTGCATGTAATTTGCATTTTCATAAAAAAATATAATGATCATAACTTCGGTTTCGCTGCAATTAATTTGTATATATGGACGGGAGGGTTTAGCAACAAAAATGTTATGAAACTTGATTATCCTTTCTGTTATGAATTGCGCTATAGCACCTCGCGCCCACCAAATACTATTGGAGTTAGATATTTTGCTAGTAAAATGTTGGTGGCAGCCTAATTCTTACTCCATCGTGTTTCGTAGACATCGTGACGTCATAGTTTCCGCTCACAAATAAATACATAAACAACATAACACGGTTTGTTTCTTGGTCTCGTCAAACTAAAATGTCTGGATCTTGGAGAGGCACTGGGGAAACCCCCAGACATTCAACGCGGCTCTCAGGAATACGTTATTTTTCAGAGGTGGTCTGAAGGGCTGACGCAGACGACTTTGGGGCAATTTTTAATCGCTTGGTATTAATTAACGACAAGTTTTTAAAGTATGAATTTGCTGTTCCGCTTAAGACTAACCACAAGTCTTTCCTATGTAATGGTTAAAAGAGTACAAAAAACAAAAGTGTATTCGTTCTTTAAGTATATACCCTTTTAGATCTTATCATAGGGATACTGTGAAATGTATTTATTGTTTTCTTATTCCATCTGGTAGATAATATTTTTTCTATGGTGAAAATTCCTTCTACAATATCGTTATGTTGTGGAAAGTCAGTTTGATTTGGGAACATCTGCATATTTCTTCAGTTGTACAATATTGATAAGATATCTTTTGTGTCACGATCAGTGATCCAGAGTTTATGTGCTTATAAATTATATTCAATGAAGCATAGGCGTAGGAACAGTTTAAAAGTTGGGGGGCAAGATTTCGAAATTGATAACGGGGGTGGGGTGGAGAGAGGAGGTATATGAAGAGGACAGACGAATTCACTTGCTTTGCAATTTCTCCACAAAGAGTGTCCAAGCCCTTGTCTGCAGCTTTAGAATACTTCACAAGAAGGTCTTTATAATAACTTATTCTCTTTATATTTGGTCTTAAATATCTGAAAAATAAGAAATTGGAGTCACTGTCATTTTTTCTTTATGATAATCATATTTTGGGTGCTGACAAACAGAACAATAGGGTACTGAAAAACAATAGTTTTATAGTATAAATATATTATAATTACATTCAATAACAAGGCAGAAGTGAGCACAGCTCACATACCCCCGCTTAGAGTCTGATCGCCTTCAATACCATTATTGAATACCAAAATAATATTTTTTAGGAAAACTTTCAATTTTGGCATCATGCAATTGAAAGCCAAAACCCACAATGGCACCATAAGGGTAAGTTCCATGCCAAATTTGAAGTTTGTAAGTGGTATAGTTTTTGAGTTATGCTCAGAGAAACCATTCCGGACGCACGGACACACGGGCGGACGGTCTGAGTGCTATATAGCAGTGACTACGTCGTAGCGGGGGTATAATAATGCAGCCATTCATATTTCATACATGAATTCGGCTTTCAGATAAAACCAGCTCTCTCACTGCCAATGTATGAGTTTGAAATCGTGTCTTATTGTTATTGTTTAGATTTTCAATAAATAAATCAAACAGCACCTATTATACTTAAAATATGGCTATTACTGTAAACTAAAGGTTACTGTATAGACTACACTGTAATGTCAATGTATGTTGTCAACTTACCGCTGATTTGAATCCATGTTGGCTGTTAATAACAGCCTGACTGCCTCTGCTTTCACTTTTGAGTGACATTAATTAAAAAATTTGGATTCTATCATTAGTGGAATTTTTTTGTGTGATCATGTTATTTTTTTAACGTTACTAGAGGCTTGAATTTGTGTTTAATTCTCTATTATGGTCCCTAAAAAAAATTCCAGCTTGTAAAAATATGGGGGGGCAGCTGACCCCCCTGCCCCCCCCCCCCCAGTTCCTACGCCTATGTGAAGTATAAAATCAATCCAAATCGTTGTGACAGAAATGCTGCAGAAAGATTTCTGTTTAGTGGTCTGCATCAGTTTTGGCATTAGAGTTACCTATTCCTTGACAGTAAACTGTTATTGTGTATCCGTTATCCGACGCACGCTATCGAACTATAGACAGGGTCCTAGTTAAGGTGTGGCTATTTTTAGTTTGCATGGCTCTGATAAAACGTTCTGGAAAATGTTTGACATCTAAATTTGGTGGGGCTTTCGCAATCACTGACGCTCAGCTCATTGGAGTATATTGTTTCATTTCGAATTAATCGTAAACTCAACAACACATCAAAGTAAGTACACGTATATCATTTATTTATCATTTATAATTTTTTTTTGAGATCTATCTGTGAAGGATGTAAACAAATTTATCTACACCATTGACTCAATGTCCCATGGCTATTAAATGTTAATCACGATTTTGAAAACAATGTCTTCATAGTTATTGTGGCATGTCGAAATTCTCTGAAATAAGTGACTAGTTAGTATTCTGCAATTTGAATTAATAGCGTACGAAACGAGTTTTCCTTTCATGAATGTCCCGGTTGAATGTTGGTCAGCCTTAATTCCTGGGACGAAAACTGGAGGAACAAGTTAATATTGATTGAACTTTAGGTTGCGGTTGTTTGGACCCTTGAACTAGGTAGGGGACAGTGTTGGAAATTGGTTGAAATCTAACAATTGATGATTGGTTCAATAGCAACCACCAATCATCGAAAAAAGATTTGTTAGCGTCATTTTTTAGATTTTCCTATTCAGGTTGTAGTTGCAGATAAGTATAAAGAAATAAACATTTGGTTCTCTGTTGTTGTTTTTAGAAACTGCACAAATTACATTTGCAGATTTCATTTCCAGTGTAAAATGATTCAGTTCCAGTGTAACATTAACTTCCCAGATTCTCCAAGAAATATTCAGTCATGACTTTTCAGAAAGTGAAGTGAGTTTTCTTAGAAATAAACACGTTTACAGGGCCTGACAATGTCCTAGATATGTTCCATCATCAAGTATTTAAAACTCTTATTACAGCGGTTCCAAAATTGTTTGTGATCGATTGCTTGGTCGTTTGGCCACTGCGACTAATCTTCGATTATTTCAATTAATCGGACCACCACTACGACACTATAGGAAATAACGAGCAAAACTAATGTTATGATGTTTGCTGTTAAATATCCTCATTATGATCCATAGGGTTAGGTAGCTCTTGCCCATCAAACAACCACTCACAATCCTTAGGGTTTGGCAACATAATCTGATCAAACACCTCAGGGGTAGTGTACTCTATTTGGCACACTTTTACAGCTTTCAGTTAGTGCTACATAGAGTATCAGATCAGCTTGAAGCAAGGCTAATGAGTTAAGACAATCAGTCTCACATTGGACCACATTTGTTATTACAAATAATTGTCTACAGAGTCATCAGCACCCGATTGTTTACCTTTATGGGCATGTGCAGTAGCCTCATAACTTGATAATACAGGATGATTACAGGATACAGAATGACCTATTTTGTTCTGGGGAAGGGGAGAAAGGGGTCAGCAATTTTGTACATACAAATGTTATTAAAATTAGGGGGTGATAATTGGTTTTGTACATAACATGCAGGGGGGGTCACTAGCTTCATACATAAATTTTAGGGGGGTCATTCACATTGTCCACGTTCTCCCATAAAAATCATCATCACCCACCCCTAGCCATAAATTATGAATTGTCCCTAAATGTATGGATTTTCCTCCAATTACATTGGGATGGATTTGTAAAACAAATAACTTACCCATATCCTGCAGTGTTCACGAATGGTGTTTCAAAAAGTTTCAGAGGTCTGTCTGACCCACTGAAAATTCACAGGACCCATAGAATAAAATTAAACACACATTTCAGATTTAACACATCTTATAAGTGGCATTGAAATTATTAACAAACGTAAAATATGTAAACAGCAAACAAGTGTGATGTGTCACATACGACAACTTCAGTCAAAGTCATTTTGAAATATACAGTCGGACACTGGGGCCAGCAATTAGTTGACTTCCACCGGACCACCGGCGAATCTTCCGGATTTGTCAGAGGGTCAGACACTATTCGTGAACACTGATCCTGCATAAAAAATTACACAAAGGATATTAATAAAGGAGTGCCCAATGTTAAAGGATTGTAAAGGTGTGAAATTGAAAAGGAAAGGGAACCCGACCTTAATAATTAAAAGGGTGTTTGATTAGAGTATGATCCAGGGGCTAAGGATAGTGTTGGGTGCAACATACCCTATCCCTCAGACAACTAAACCTGAAGATTGAAGAGGCCTCCAAGGTCTTTGATTTTTTAAACAGCTCTTTACGATAATTATCAGTCAGAGACGTAACATGTACCTGAGACAGCTTATCATCACTTGTGCGCAAGACGGGTGCACTCCGCGGTACTAACTGAAACGGTTCAGCTCCTTCAAATAAAATGTCTGAACTTTCTGATCTAGTTTATTTTTGTATTTATTATTAAAAACATTACCCTAGGTTTATATTTTCTTGATTGTCTCAAATATAATAAATTTTGCATGTGAATTTAGTCTGATTGTACCACATGTTCGGTGTCCTAGGATTACATCATGGTAGGCCGACAAAGGAGAGATAACTGTGTTTGAGTATTGGATGTTATACCCTGGGTAATGGATGGTTTTGTAACACTAGATATATCAACTTCATGTTTCATGTGTCCTGTTTCAGATGTCGGATGTTGTCAAGTCTGGATACATCAAACGTTACAGCAGTAAGTTTATCTACCATCTATTTTTTCTTCGTTTTGCGTTGGTAGCCTGGGTATTGCGGCATTTGCTCATCATGCTAAGGGTAAGGATTTGATTCCCCACATAGGTTAAAGCCCACTCCTGGTGTTACCCATGGTGATATTGATGGAATATTATCATGCTCTTTCACTCTCTGTACGCTTGTATTCCTATGTCGAATGAAACAATATTATTACTAATGTTCAGAAACATCGTACAATAGTTGTCTGTTAATTCTTTGTGTCAGATGAAGTTATTTGTAGAAGCTGATAACCTCAGGAAGAAGCAGTGGAGATTATAGGTTTTAATATTTGATGATGTCTAAAATCCAGCATCATTGTGAGAATAAAGCACAAATGTTGTTTCAGCTACCCATTTAGCCGGGCTCCAGATAAGGGCCGTATCGGCGTATGTACGGATAAAACATTTGCACGATACGATACGGTTTTCGAGTACTCCTATATTGAAAAAATAAGGAGTACGTACTCCTGGTGTTCAAAAATTATCTGGAGCCCTGCATTTAGCCAATGATTTACCAGTGTTCACTTACTTACCAAGTCAACTTGCTCAATTTACCATGTATGCCATGTAAATTTGGCAGGTGGAATATAATAATTCCCATTGAATCTGTCACATATATACGGCGGTGGTGGGGTAGCCTTGTGGTTTAGGTGTTTGCTCGTCACGCTGAAGACCCAGGTTCAATTCCCCATATGGGTATAGTGTGTGAAGCCCATTTCTGGTGTCCCCCGCCATGATATTGCTGGAATATTGCGGGAATATTGCTACAAGTGGTGTAAAACTAAACTCTCTCAAAACTCACTCTCTATCACATATGTACTGATTATCATAATTTATTATACATCATAATGCTTGGATTAATCTGCAGATAGTTTTATGGATGGCGGATGGAAAAAGATCTGGGTTGTTCTACATAGAGACAGCAAACTGGTGATATACAAGAAACAGTCGGATACCTCACCAAAGGGCCATGTTATAATGAAGGTTTGTATCAGTCATGTTATAATGAAGTGTGTATGGCAAAAAGTTCATGTTGTCACATAAGTATGTATGCACTGCATTGTGACGTCATCAAGTACATGACGTCATAGCATTGTCAGGGCATTGTACAAAATCTACTGTCAAAACGATATCTCCTAGGAGATATCGTTTGATCTTACACAAGCGATATCTCCTGTGGAACACAGTTTTGGATGATAAATTGCCATATCAGTGGCAAACACTTGTAACAAAAGTGTGTATGACCAATGTCCATGTTATAAGGAATGTGTGAATGAAGAAAGTCCCAAGTCATGACAAGGTCCATGTTATTACAAAGGTGTGTATGACGAAGGGTCCTTATTGTAACAAGAATGTGTATGACCAACATTCATGAACTTATTCATGGCCTTATTGTAACAAGAGTGTGTATGATGCATGTTATAAAGTATGTGTATGACAAAAAGGTCCTTGTCCTTATGTGGGGTATGATCAAAAGACCATGTTATACCATGTTTGTATGACCGAAGGTCCATATCATAATGAATGTCCTTATGTCCATGTTATAGGGGATGTGTGTATGACAAAAGGGCCTTATTGTAACAAAAGTGTGTATGATGCATGTTATAAAGTATGTGTATGACAAAAAGGTCCTTGTCCTTATGTGGGGTATGATCAAAAGACCATGTTATACCATGTTTGTATGACCGAAGGTCCATATCATAATGAATGTCCTTATGTCCAGTAGGTGATCTTCTTATGATGAAAAGGGTGTGACCAAATGGCCATGCTGTAAGGAAGACATATATGACTAAAGGCCCTTGTTGCATTGAAGTACATGTATTTAAAATGGACTTTCATGCTATTTGTATGCATTTTCCAGAAGGATATAAATATGTACTTTTCCATGATATAACATTTACATGATCTATATCATCTATTTAAACATGTGTTACATTGGAATTAACCATGACAACACAAGAATGAAATACATTGCTTTCAGCATCGGTTGACCAGAAAAATCCATGAACAGATAAGTAGTAATCTGTCTGTAGTTACTATTATTATATAAGTTAGTCAATACTGACTTAATCTGATTACTTTTCAGGATGTATGTAAATATTTTGCATTTGGCCAATATGCGGAGAAGTTCCCCGAGCGACCAACCCTACCGAAGGACGGCAAGATAGACTGGGTGTTGGCGATACCCCAGAAACCCAGCTCACAGGCCAAGTTACACTGGTTTCTATGCGAATCTGACAAGGATATAAAGTAAGGCATCACAGAACAGTTTCCGAATCAGCTTGTTTAATGGTATAAATGAATACACACTGCCTTTGAGTACAGAGTCAGATGCATCCTATGTTATATTTGGAATTACACTTTCTCAGTGAAGTACAGATTCTTGTTCTTTAGTTTGGTTGAGTCCCATCCAGGATTTGAACCCACACCCACAGAGTCAGGCACCTAATCGCCAGCACACAAAGTCAGCTGTCTAACTCACTCAGCCACCACAACTTCCACAAAACGGAATGGGATAACTGGTAGTCCAGCCCATGGACTTCGTGTACCCCTCTGATAAGTGTAAATTGGCATGGCTCCCACCGCCCAAAAAGCTATGAATACATGATGCCATTCTAGCAAGTCCTCCTGTGTACCGTGATATATTTGAGATTACACTTTCTCAGTGATGTACAGATTCTAGTGCGTTTGTTGGATTTAGTCCCATTTGGGATTCCAACCCACACCCTCAGTCAGACACCTACCTATTCACCACAGCGCTATGTCAGCCATCTAACCCACTTCCATTTTGTATGTTTTGGGGGGTTAACTGTTTAATGGATTTGACATTTTGTCGACTTTATGTGTTCCAAATCTACATGATCCACAAGCTGATTACACAGTTTGACTTTTGCTGATATTAGGGTGTACGATGATGAGTGGTCAAATTGAGTGGTAAATCTTCAAGTTTAGCATTAAAGGACACAATATCTCTGATGCTGTTTCCAGCACTGAACAGTGGTAAGGGCATGTACATAATCAATGTGTTTCATATTTGTGTATGTGATAGTAAATCTTTGCATTGTATTTGTTGTGAAACTAAATCATTTAAACAAGATCCCATCTTGTTTCAGTGAGTGGATGCAAGCCATTGTTTCAACAGTAAGTATAAAGTCACGATGAACATTTCATTCATGATCGTTATGATGATGATGATGATGATGATTATTTTCAGGCTGTATTATGTATGTGGGATATTGCAGGTAACAATAATAATAATAATACTGGAAATTTATATAGCGCTAAATCCAACCACTAAGTGGGTGCTCAAAGCACTACAAAATAATAATAATGTTTGAATAGAGTTAACAGTGCAGTAAAAAAGAGATGTGTTTTAAGATGTGCTATGAACGCAGCAAAAGATGGGGACAGTTTTGCTGCGTTCAATCAAACTCATATATGATGAAGATAATAATGACTATTGCTGTTGTATAGTTCTTGATTTTATACAGCATAATATTTTGATTAATGTACAGAATTTTTATACTTGTTATCTTCAGCTTCCTCATAAAGGCGAGGCCCCACCCTCATCAAGTGCCCCTCCCCCTGCCCCATACAGGGAGGAGATACAGGCTGTGAAGAGCAACCCGGTGTCAGCCCCTCCCCCTCCAGGCTATCCAGCTGCCCCGCCTCCCTACAGTGCCGGTCCACCAGTCGGAACACTTGGATTTGACGCTATGAATAGTAAGAAATATTATTTAGTTGTTAGCGATTCATGGCAGCAATACCATATGTTGATGTTTGTTGCTGGTTCATGAGCTATGCCTTTCACTGTCACAGACGACCGCCTCCGTGGTGTAGTGGTTAGAGCGTCCACCCGGAGAGCAGAAGGTCGCGGGTTCGTTCCCCAACCGCATCATACCAAAAGATGTTAAACTATGGTACTTGTTGGTCCCTGCCTGGCTCTCGGCATTAATGGGTACAACAAGGACTGGTCGGCTCGGAGTCAGTATAATGTGTCTGAGTGGGGTATTCATGCTTCACTGCGGCATGGTATCTCAATGGGCTAGCACTATAAAACCAGCTTCAGTCTGGGCTAGTACAAGCTGCCGCACATACACATACACATGCATGCACGTCGTCATATGAGCGAAATATTCTCAAGCACGACGTAAAACCCAATTTCACCTCACCTCTCACAGACAATTTTCTTTCCTTATAGTCCATTGGTTTTATAAAGCAGGGCGGTCCCACTGCCGGAGTGTCAGGGTGGGTGTTACTGCAATACAATGTTCTACAGAGTGAGTGAGTATGGTTATACACCGCTTTTAGCAATATTCCAGCAATATCATGGCGGGGGACATGACATATAGGCTTCACACATTGTACCCATGTGGGGAATTGAACCTGGGTCTACAGCGTGATGAGCCAACGCTTTAACCACTTGTCTACCCGACTGCCCTGTTCTAAAGAGGTCTTGTGACCGTTTCTCAACTACTGAAAATAAAGATACTTGTCTAAGGCTCCACAAATTGCTGTGAAAACCTGTTTGCCCTGGCTGTCATCAACATACCCATGGTCGTTGTAAATATGTTAATCTCTTCAGGCTTTCATCCCACCTCAGTTTGTCCTATGACTGAAATATTCTTCAAGAGATATACTTACTCTTACTTTAGGAATAAATATTCAAGTCAGGTACAAAACTTCAGGGTCCCCATCCACAAAGTGTTCGTAGTGCTACGACATCCGTAAGCCTATGGTATATTATTGAGTTACGACATGTCATAACGTTACGAACGCTTTGTGGATCGGACCCTTGGCTCAATTTGAGTATTGGCATATGTCATTTTTTTATGGCTTACAAATATGCGAGGCCTGAGACCATATATAACAGTAAATTATATTGTTTTATCATAATATATTTTTCATTTTCTATTTAATGGCCAATGTTATGGTTTGAACACTCTGCATTCTTTAAAAGTATTGATGTACTGCCACGTGAGTTATGGCTATGAAAATGTTATTGTGTAAATTTTTATCCCCGCCGCGCGTTTAGCGCGAAGCGGGGGATATAGTATTAGGCTCCGTCCGTCCGTATGTACATACGTACGAACTGGAATATTTTAAGAACCTTTGACTAGATTCTTTTCATATTGGTACCTAGGTTCATCACAGTATAAGAAAGGTTCTAGTCAGGTTTGGTGAGCTTGACCTTCATTTCAAAGTCACAAGGGGACTTTAACGTTTTACCTTTGTCAGTGAGATATCTAAAGAACTGTTCCCTGGATTTTCTTCATATTCAACACCAAGCTTTATCTAGGGAAGGTGCAGGGCCCAATCGATTTTGGTAACCTTCACTTAATTTTCAAGGTCACAGCGACACTTTGAAGATTTCAGCATGTTAACATGCATGTTGAGCTTGTCAACGAGATATCTCAAGAACCGTTTCACTGGAATTTCTTTAAATTCAACACCAAGCTTTATCTAGGGAAGGTGCAGGGCCCAGTCAATTTTGGTGACCTTCACTCAATTTGCAAGGTCATGGCGACACTCTGAAGATTTCAGGTTGTGAAGCTTCATGTTAAGCTTGTCAGCGAGATACCTCAAGAACCATTTACTGAACTTTCTTCATATTTGACACCAACCTTCATCTAGGGAAGGTGCAGGGCTCAATTGATTTTGGTGACCTTCACTTAATGTTCAAGGTCACGGCGACACTTTGAAGATTTCAGCATATTAAACTGCATGTTAAGATTGTCAGCAAGATATCTCAAGAATCGTTCACTGGATTTTCTTCATAGACTTTCAAGACTTCCCTTAAATGTTTTTCAATAAGCAATTTCTTTATTACTAATTTTGCCTATTTCATACACTAAGACATTCATGTCATGGTCAAAGTGAGTCTTGAAAATATTTGTGCGTTTGAACAACTACAGAGCAAGATATCAAGAGAGGTTGACTGGTCATGTTTTTGTTGACATTTAACTTCATCTTAAACTACGACCTTCACTTTCACTACTTTTTAAGTTTGATTTGATAATTTGCGGCGGGGGATTATGTCACCGTAGTGACAATGCTTGTCGTTTTTCCTTTTCAGTTTCTGGCCACCCTCCAGCGGCAGCTCCCCCACCCCCTGCCGGAGGATACTACCCCCAGCAGACATACCATGCCCCAGCGGGGTACCCCCAGCAAGCCCCTGCCCCACAATACCAGCCCCCAGCCCAGCAGTATCAGCAATCTTACCCCCAGCAACAGTATCCACAGCAACAGTATCCACAGCAACAGTATCCCCAGCAACAGTATCCCCAGCAACAGTACTACCCACAACAACCTGCAGGGGCTGCTTACCCACGGCAACCATACAACGCTGCACCTGCACAAGGTAAGTGTTGGATGAAGACAAGATGGGGATTCAGGGTAGCGAACTGACAGGTTGTTATGGTTTTGGAAATGTGTAACCCTTGATGATTCTGTAATGAAACTATTTTACAGGTCACTGGGGAACTTATACAAGCACTTGTCCTCCTAAACTGGGTTCAGAGCCTGAATATTGCCTTTACCCAGGGCTGACAGTACACACCCCTGTTGTCTGTTTCAGGCTACTACCACCCCCAGGGTCAGTATATAGTCTACCCCCAGGGCTGACAGTCAAACCCCTCCCTACTAAATCTTTTGTGTGTCTGTTTCAGGTTACTACCACACCCAGGGTCAGTACATAGCCTACCCCCAGGGCTGACAGTATGCACCCCTCCTTACTTAATCTTCTGTTGTCTGTTTCAGGTTACTACCACCCCGAGGGTCAGTACATAGCCTACCCCCAGGGCTGACAGTCAGACCCCTCCCTACTAAATCTTCTGTTGTCTGGTTCAGGTTACTACCACCCCGAGGGTCAGTACATAGCCTACCCCCAGGGCTGACAGTCAGACCCCTCCCTACTAAATCTCCTGTTGTCTGTTTCAGGTTACTACAACCCCCAGGGTCAGTACATAGCCTACCCCCAGGGTCAGCAGTATGCCCCCAGACCCCACACACAATATGTCCAACAACAACCCCAGGTGGTGGTCGTCAAGCAGAAAAGGGACAAGGGAATTCTGGGAGGAAGTACAGCTTCAGCCGCAGCAGGTGAGTAGAGGCTTGTGGGAAAATAATTTATACACAAACATTGTGACTTGTGAGTGTGCAATGCATAGAAAGGAGCACCTTTAGAATTCAGCTCCATAACTTCACATGGGGACGGTCTCTCATTGACGGGTTGTGGGGTAGCCTAGTGGTTAAGGCATTTGCTTGTCACGCCCAAGACTTGGGTTCGATTCCCCACATGGGCACAATTTGTGAAGCCCATTTGTGGTGTCCCCTGGCATGACATTGCTGGAATATTGCTAAAAGCGGCATAAAACTAATTCACTCACTCACTCTCATACAGTTTGTGACCCAGTTTTGCTGCATCTGCTCTATAGATTGCTTCAGTTAAAGAATAGATGACTCTGTAGAGTTCACACAACAAATATGGCTCATTTGACCTGTGTAAGTTATACATAGCTTTATTACCTGACTATAAATATTGATTTTGTTACGCGATTTTGATTGTACTATTCACTGACTCCAGCAAAACTATATCTCCAGCCCAGTTCCAGCCTAGTTCAGCAACAGTGGAGACTGCACAGACTATTATTAATTATCTCTCCACATGATGCAGCGTGTGTTTTCACTTGCGTTTCCATGTGTTGCTCATTACAGACATTTAGTAAACAGGTTTTGGGGCCTGTGGTGAAAGTTGTCTTTTCTAACCATGTATTCCACCAGGTCCAGATTGTTTCACTGTCAATTCTTCATGGGTTTCCCTAGAACCTGTGAATTATGTGTTGCAATGGTGATGCTTATCTATCTTCTTTATAAACTACATGGCAACTGAAGAGTTTGGTCAACTGGAGGATCAACAGGTCCACTGTACGATCAACAAGGCATCAACACATTCAACTGTTCTGCCAATTCCACAAGTGCTGAGTCTCAGAGACAGGGGATATGAAAGTTTTCTTTGATTATATGATTAAAGAACATTTTGTTTAAAGCAAAGACAAATGATATGAAGGAATGAATCTGATTGGTCAATAGGAAGGACATTCAAGGCTTTACAAAGTACTTTTATTCCTAATACAGGATGGCTACCATCCCCAAACCCTCTTTTTGTGAAAACAGGGCAGTGGGGTAGCCTAGTGGTTAAAGCATTTGCTCGTCACGCCGAAGACCTGGGTTTGATGCCCCACATGGGTACAATTTCTGAAACCCAATTCTGGTGTCCCACGCCATGTTGTTGCTGGAATATTGTTATAAGCGGCGTAAAACTAAATTCACTCACTCACTCACTTTAGTGATAACCTCCCAAAATACACCTTGTGATAACCACTGTTATTCTAGTCTCTGACCTAATATAATTAAAAACTTAAGAAAAGATTGTGTTGAAGGCAGCATCATATGACTTACTGATGGTGTTTCAGGTTTGGCTGGTGGGGCTCTGCTGGGGTATGGAGCAGCTCGGATGATGAGTGGACCTTGTTACGGGCTACGGTGGCTACGGTGGCTTTGGTGGCTTTGGCATGGGTCGGTGGGGCAGTTGGAGCTCCCTCAGCAGCTGCGGCAGTTTTGGCAGCTTCAGCAGTTTCGGCAGTTGGGACTGAGCACCATCCCGGTTATAATGGATGTGTGTGTTCTGCTATATACAGTGAACATCGGCGTGTACATAATGAATGTGTGTACAACTACATACAGTGTGTTCATGATGACCGGATATCATTTACCTTTTACTGGTTCTAGAAGTAGGTTGTAATCTTTCACACTACACTCGTCATCAAGTATTGCCTCTTGTATCGATACTGTCTACTGCAGGAGCTGCAAGGGGTTGACTCCCAAAATGTCACGGTTGTACAGTGGCTTTCAGTTTAAAAATCCTATGTTCAAATTTAACAAAACAAATATATCGTTAAAAGTTTACAAGGTATAAAGGCTAATTGTCAGTGAAATATGTTCGCATGACAGTTAAATCTCCTTTTTGTTTCTCTGGAACTCTGTGCGATATCTCAAAGTGTGACCTCAAAGTGAGGTCGCAAGTGAGTGATGTCATATCTCATGTTATGACCTCATGTTCATGTACTGAGATATGAAAATGAAAAGTAGAGTACTGTTTTCCAAGATACTGTTTCCTATTCCTATCTGACTCCATATTACAGAAATCTGAACCATTTTTACTTCTTTTGTTAGACTTGTCAGTTGAACATTTTCTGTATCATGTGTTGAGTCTCACGTGGTGTGGAAATACATTACTATAGAGTCGAAATGGAATGCTATTTCATTATGATTTTAATTTAAGGTAAGTTCACATTCCTTCATAAATGACTGCTCCTCTCTTAAATGTTGTGACCGCCTCCCGTGGTGTAGTGGTTAGAGCATCCGCCTGGAGAGCGGAAGGTTGCGGGTTCGTTCCCCGACCGCGTCATACCAAAAGACGTTTAAATATGGTACTTGTTGGTCCCTGCCTGGCGCTCAGCATTAATGGGTACAACAAGGACTCGTCTGCTCGGAGTCAGTATAATGTGTCTGAGTGGGGTATTCATGCTTCACTGCGGCATGGTATCTCAGTGGGCTGGCACTATAAAACCAGCTTAAGTCTGGGCTAGTACAAGCAGCCGCACATACACATACACATGCATGCATGTTGTCATATGAGCGAAATATTCTCAAGCACAACGTTAAACCCAATTTCACCTCACCTCACCTTAAATGTTGTCTTCTTGTTTGAGCCATGTGACCAGTTTTCTCAGTCGGATACGTTTTGGTATACAGAGGTACAACGGTACATTTTTTGTAGTACACTACACTGCCCCATCTTTGTTATTTGAAATATTTGTTGAGAACGATTGTATGTAGTTTCTTCTCACAAATAATCATGGGATATATGCAGTTGGCACATCAATGTACTATTTGGCAATGTTGAGGTGATGAAGGTCATACAAGGTCACACAAGGTCATGTATATATTCCATCACTCTGCCATCTGTAATAGATGCTCACACATGCAGAAATTCATCATATAATCTTAGATCAAAATGGTAGTTTTATGTAGTGAAATAGTTATCTCTATATCTTGTATAATTGGTCATTGAGCCAGATTGTATTGAAGTTCATAACATTTCATAAAGATAATCTGAAATCTGAGTGTTCAGGTGATGGCAGGATGTGATTGCATGATATGTTGTCATGTGAATAGTATCTTATGCTGACAGGTAACTTGCCCAATTTAAAAACCAATACAACTTAAAATATACATAATTAAAGAACATTCCCCTATGCACATAGTTTTGTAACATATGAACTATTTTGGGAAACCAGTCAATAATCCATTAGTGGGAGATTTTCATGGATATACCGGTATATGAAGTATTTAAGATGAAAAATTATCTAAACATTTATATTGATTGACCTACTCAGAAGATTCTGAAGTAAATAAGCCATTTTAGCTGTGTTCAATGTTGGGTACAACTTTTTGTGTTCAGAGCTGTAGATGAACTGATTTTGGTCATGCATTTTACATTGTTTTAGTTGCATAGCCTTGTTTACTTCATGGATCAAATCATGCAAAATAACAGCATAATTAAGCTGTCCACCTACAGGTCCTCTGTGTTTTATCGTCTTATTGTTAACAGTGATATTTTATTTGTATCATAGAAGGTGGTTAGAAAGTTTTAAAAAATGTTGTTTTGTTTGTATATTTGGAGAGGAAGTGTCAACTCTTAAATGGTTTAGTCGTGTTCTTTCAGATACGCTGTGATATATTTGAGTGTTATGGTAATACATACACTGACCTATTCAGGCCTGGAACACCTTGTCTATGAGGGAACCTAAAGTGAAACCTGGTTTATCTGGAGCCTGTCCAGACTTGACTGTGTGACAGTAATTGATTAGCACCGTCATTCACCTGGACGTTTCATGATGTTAAGTGAAGAGATAATTAGATGATCACACTGTCAGTTACAGAGTTATATCTCTGAAGTGGTCATATTCATGAAATGTGTTGGAGGTTTGTAATACATGTATTACTTTTGTAAGGATATTCAGACTGTACGTTCAGTTGGTATCCGATATTGTCATGGAACTTCCAATACTGAAACACACATACTGGTATTCTTTAATACTATTTTACTGTCAACTTTTCACCCTGTTTATCTGGAAACTCCACATTTTAGGACAGTTACTTTAGTATTGTATATATGTAGATATATATACAGTGAGAAGTGAATGTCAGTTTTTTGTTGAACCTAATAATTATTGATATAGATGATTTTAAAAGGAATAATAACCTCTAGATAAATAAGGTCTGTATTTTATTTATATCTGTGAGGAAAATGGCGTTGGTTACTCTCATGTATCTCCTTGGATTTGATCTGATGTAAACCATTAATTTGTTTTACAATATAGAACATGCATATTTACAGTTTATATATAACATTAATTATGTGTGTCAGATACTTGCTTTGTTGATGTATGTTTGCTGTATTTGAGACCATACATTGATATTGAGATTTCAGATGTAGAATTAAGAGGTCGCAAGTCAAGAAATAATACTCAACTAAATATGATCACATGATGTTATTAGCAATCTACCATGTCAAAAGTAAACAAAGTGATTTGAGGGTAATATTTTCAGGAAGTTGGAAAGTCGTCCAGAAACTTGAGGGACAGATTTGTTGAATTAGGAGATAACCCTATTGTGTTTACCTAATGTTTCATTTAGCAGCGTTCAACCAATTATAATCACTTCCAAAATGTAAACACTATAGGGTTATCTCCATTCTACCATGACATATGCACCATGAATAAAACGTGTTTTAAATATGCACTCATTACCCTTCCGTAGTGTTGTTTACCTTTGTAAGGGTTAATGAGTGCAAAATATTCCTACGCGCAATGAACCGGCTCTCAGAAGTGGTTATTGAAAAAATTTCACTTCTAATTTTTTAGTAACAGCCAATAAAAAATGAACATACTTAAATGTCATGGTAGAATGTTCAACATCCTCTTTTGTTAACTATTCTTCAAATATAAACTTTCTTCCATGCTATCAGTAACAAGTATTCTCAGTGGATGTTGGATTGCAAAGTCTGAAAGAAGTTGATGGATTGTTACTTGAAACATTGCTTATTTAACATAGTGTGCGTATGTGGTTTCAAAATAGCTTCTTGTTTACTTAATTTGTTATCTTATTTACCTTGATGTTTACATTACAGGTGTTTGGGGCCTTGTTTATTGATGCAACATGAAAACTCCACCTTTCTGTTTACATGCATGGATCGTCTGATGGTCCATATGGTACTTAAGCTTGACATTCTGCTTTTACATGGAACTTGAGATCTAAATGTGGGTATTGGATTGGCTTCTTGAAAGATTAGCTCTCCACAGGTAAATGAATCACACATAATGATTGGTTGAAAATAGATGTATGAATTTTATCAAAAGATTTGTTAGATTTTTTTTTATGATGAGATGTATTCTGGAGTCTAGCTGTTAATACCATAATAAATGCAGAGTCGTCATAATTGAACTAAATGATTTTCTCGAATCTGATAGAGGTCTTGTACATTTTACCACCACCTCTTGCACAATTCATTCCTTATTTCATGTGATATGTTTAGTTTTAAAATCACCCTTTATCACTTTGGTTAGTTCTGCATTTATTAGGTGGCATAGTTGTCCCAGTTTTCTAAGGTGTATGCCAGCATGGCTGGGTTCGAATCCCAGTTCCATCACAATACCTGCAGTGTGGGTTTCACCGAAGCAGTACGTATCTGGGACCTGCTTTCCTGCCACATCAAGCTGACAAGGAATGATATTCAGAAATACTGTTCACTATATTCCCGATTACCTTATGTATAGAATTACACTGAATGTTAGGCCACATTAAATAATATACTTGTTTCTCATCACCTTCTCAAAAAAATATGGGTCGGGCGGATTTCATTTTTTGTCCAAGACCTCTTGATTTCTGTGGAAATTTACACCTTTTCTCCGATAGAAAATCAAAACTTAGACGTGTGAAAAATAGAAAAAATGTTTGTGTTGGGTCGAATATTTTGGTTGGGCGGAAATGAGAAACAAGTATATTTTTATATATGGTCTTAGTGTCTTCTATGAGAGCTGTTTTGGGATTTGCTATGTCAAGATCTGCTTGTACTGGGTTTTCACACTTATACACCTGTTGTCTCCATGCAGGAGTGTGATCTGTGGCATGTCTCTCAGCTTTCTCAAGGTGACAAGGTCATCCACTGATGTTACCTAAGATATTATTGCTTTAGAAAGTAGTTTTTGTTTGTTGTAGTTTGTTTGGTATTAGAGTAATACTCATCTTTTGGGATATTAACCACATTAGTACATGATGTGTGCAGAGAAACAAACAATATTCGAACTTGAGTCTGAAGTGTGCAAGAACTTTTCAGGTGTTAATCTAATTGCTCTCAGTCCCCAACACCCCAGGCTGAGTATATTTGATTGTGTATCTGAAGTTATCGGATCTGTAAACATGTCAGATTAACATGTTTCTTTGTCTTTCATGACTGTTAATGTAACGTTTTTTGGATGATGCCATCCCATAATTAAAATAATGATTTTCCTATTGTCACATTGTTTTAACAATTTTTATTAAGTTTGAGTGAGTGAGTGAGTGAGTTGGGTTTTACGCCACTGTTAGCAATATTCCAGCAATATCACAGCAGGGGACACCAGAAATGGGCCTCCCACATTTTACCCATGTGGGGAATTGAACCCGGGTCTTCGGAGTGACGAGCAAATAATGTTTAATGAACATAAGATGACAGGTATGAGCTATTTGCGTATGTACATGTATTTTATCTATCACGTGCACTTAGGTAAAACTACTTTACTGTGAAAAGTTGCTGGCATGATAACATTTTTCACATAATCAGTTTTCAAACAAACCAAACCAAGTTTACAAAATTTAATGTGACCAAATCTGAATCTTTCTATGAAGATTCTTAGCTTTAGATGTGGACATCAGATGTTTTAATCAAGGAAGAACAGTTACATGCTTGGAAAGCTATATTTAATATATTATCTTTACACCACTACTCAAAACTGACTGAATACATGACATGTTTTATGGATAACAACTTCATTTGTACTCTTTAACGACGTTTCAGAGCTAATTCTTGCTCCTTCATCATTCACCTGATGAAGGAGCAAGAAATAGCTCTGAAGTGTTGTGTAAAGAATAAAAATGAAGTTGTTATCCATAAAACGTGTCATGTATTCATGTTCACCCAACTTCTAAATGCCTTTTCACGCGAAGACCCGGGTTTGGATCCCCACATGGGCACAATGTGTGAAGCCCATTTCTGGTGTCCCCGGCCGTGATGTTGCTGGAATATTGCTAAAAGCGGCGTAAAACTAAACTCAGTCAGTCTAAATGCCTTTCAAAAAACTTCAAACCTGACTGGTTCTAGCTTTATCAGGGATGGCAACAGGAAAATCTATTTTCAGCTGAAAACTTAATATTGTCATCGAGTTGAGGGTTTCTCAATGGAGTTAGACGATTCACAATTGAACAATTTGAAATAAAATCAGCAGAAATCCGCGGAACAGTGGAAAATTGCTTGCCATCCCTGCTCTATGAGAGTGAGTTTAGTTTTATGCCACACTCAGCAATATTCCAGCTATATGGCGGTCTGGGTATACAATGAAGATGATTTATTGCAGAATATATATGCTGGCCCAAAATTTGGAATTTGATAAGGTTGTGTGTTGAAAAGTAAGTTTACAACATATTCAGAAAACCACACAACGTTTCTTTCTGGCCATCTTTTCACAAGCAACACTTACAAATGGCAGACATATTTGTGTCACTTGACACGCCTTTCATGGACCTATTTACTTGGGTCAACAAATTGGACTCATTCAGTTCAGGAAAACCATTGTTATGGCAGACATGATTAGTGTGTCATTTTCCAAGTCCATCACTAATTTGCACTGACGGACTGAGGTTGGCTTTACGCCGCTTTTAGCAATATTCCAGCAACATTACGGCGGGGGACACCAGAAATGGGCTTCACACGTTGTACCCATGTGGGGATTCAAACCCGGGTCTTCGGCGTGACGAGCCAACGCTTTAACCACTAGACTACCCCACCGCCCCTAATTTGCACTGACCATTAAGAGTCAGGGTATAGTGAGTGTTTGGTTTTAGGCTGCTGTATGCAATATTGCAGCACTGTAATAACAAGCACCAGAAATGGGCTTCAAAAACCACTAGACTACCCAAGTTTAGCAAAGAGATCTTGGCACTAAGACAACCCCAGACCTTCTCTTACAGTTCCATAGAGATCCTACCACTGATGATTGCAATACCATACTGGGCCAATTCTATAATATGGTCCAAGCACTAAAACTGTGTACTTGTAAAGTTAAATAAAAAGATCTTAGCATCGCAACAATCCAAATATCTTACAGATGAGTACAAACAGCCTCATAATGGCTAAAATACTTTTTCCAACAGATCCTACATTTTATCATTATAGGATATTTGTACAGCGCACATATCCACGCAACTAGTGCATGCTCAAACATCACGTTTGAAGTAAAAGGCCAAACTTCAAATTGTGTTACAATAGAAATTTATTTACTTTTTTTTGTATGATACAGGCTTTTCTTTGCTGTACAGTACCTATCTAAAACATAACAGTACAGACAGCATAAACATTAAAATATATATCATTCATACATCCTTAAAACTTCCATGCTGCATCCATCCACTGTACATTCTCCCCATCCACAAACCTACTTCAGCAACAGACTGTCAGATAACACATATAATGGAGGACCTGCACTTAGAATTCTGTACCTTGAACCTGATTTGGTTATGTCTGCAGGTCAGCACATTAAAAGGAGCATGCTTAAAGTTCACTTCACCTAGTGACAATTAGAATGTGATTACCCATAACTTCCTATTCGTAAAATTCTACTTTCAACAGCAATAATCACATGTAAGTCAAAAGAAATTGTATCTATAGCAACAAGGTAAATGTAGTACAAACTGGTTTTAGAATTTTTAAGAGGTAAATTCGTCCCATGAGCTAAAGTCTAGGAAACACTATTATAGAAAAGATGAAGACTGGATCATATTTGATAAACATGTCAAAATTAATTTAATAACTTGAGGACACTGATAATGCAAATATGAATGGCAAGAAGAAATATTAATATTTTGCAGTTCCCTCAAAGTCCTCATCCTTTTGTTTGAAAAATCTCACGGCCATCTAAACAATGACTATAAAATGTGCTCAGGTTGGCTTCTTCAGTTTCAAATATGCTTCTGCCACATCTTTTATCACTGAGCTTGCATTGAGGATCAGACTTTTCCCGATATATGAGTAGTGTAGTGAACTGCTGAGTAACAGATCTCCCTCTGCCTACCAATCAGGATTACTCAAACTTTAATATCACATATAACAGTCCATGGAAGTAGATCTTTTCTGGAGCCTTAATAAGCAAGATCAGACAAACCAAATATAAAACCAACTACATGAAATTGGTGTGAGTAAGTCAGCCAATTAGACAGCAATATCTTGCAAGACACATCAGACTTGGGCCTCACATGTATACACAAACAGGAATCCTTGCAGGATGTTCGTGAATGTACCATTATAGCAATTTTGAAACGGGATGCAGACTTCCTCCATCAGAACTAACTTACAAATTTCATAGGACGTTCAAAATCATGAAGCAATTTTGTTAAGGCTGTCAGACCGATCTACACCTGGATTGCAAATCATGATTGCCAGTGCTACAGTTTAGAAATACTGACATTTAACATTAACAACTTCTTAAATTCTGCCCTTCTATCATGTTCTAACATATAGTTTGTATAAAAAATATTTCATAACTTACAATAAAAATACTATGTAAGGTACAATGGATACATACATTTTGATAAAAGAAACATTCATAAATATGTTGTAAATACCACAGATAATACATGATCATTTCTTTAAAACATTACATCTTATTTCATTCCTTGGTCAAATATGAGAGCTATCAACAAGCAAAAGCTGTTTACTTATCATGCTTATATTATGGTTACATGCAGTCTGGCCAACAGTAATTTGATTCAAGTTAAGGGCAGGTAAACAATCACCATTTCAAACAGTATTCATTCAGATCAAGTATCTCCCAGACATGTCAAAGAAGTCATTTCGTGCAGATCATTGAACATTCGCGTACGAGATCGGTACTTTCACACAGCCATTCACATCAAACCAGGTCTCATTTCACAAAACCATTACACAGTGACTTTTGACAATATCTTGATGGCTTCAGGCAACCCAGCAACTAAATGGAGAGCTTTGGCATGAGTCCAGTTTTACCACATCAAGTTATAGAGTTGGGTTTTTTTGCCAGGGACAGTCATTTGTTTCAAAATTTGAATTTACGGTATTATTATTTCATAAAGTATTTTTCAAGAAATGCAACAGCTCTCAAATTCAAATGCCTTTTTCAGACTAGAGCAAGATGGCTCAAATGGAGAAACTAAACCTCAATCCTAACAACTCTTACCTCAAACTAAATTTACCCTCATTATCTCTTGATCTGGTAACCATGGAAACACAAAACATCAACTTTCAAAACTAATCATTCAAGATGTGCAAAGCTTCATTAAATTAGATATTTCTGTTCTTGTGTTTCTCAAATGGGTGTGACATGGAAGTTGAACTGCAACTTTCTGAAGTTCGTACATGGGGTACTGAGGGTACATGGGGTACTGAAGATAGATGCTGTAGATAGTCACAGAGCTGAGTAATGTTCGGAATGAGACCACAGTGCAAACACAACACCACACAACACAAAGTCAACATGTTTAAAAACATACACAGACATGACAATAAATATATACACATGTACAAATTTACACATTTTCATTTTTTTGAGTCGACAACTGTACATTCAGGCTAGGCCTAAGATACAAAACCGGTTTGAACTGTTCCATTGTCTGCATGAACATGGAGAACTTTCTGCAGCCATCTTGTGCATAAATAAGTAAAAATTTGTATATAGCTTAACACGACATTTGGTAGTCAATTACATGCATATCTGTACCAGGTAAAACTGCACATCCCAGGGGATCCACATCATAATATATCAATAATCAAGAAACCATTCCATTCCTGCCGTCAATCGAGCTTGCACTGAGGGATAACTGCCAAGAACAAGGTCACATAGGTAACTATGGTTATCGTTAAGATCTGTTTCCATGGCTACACATACTATGACACATTCAGGTATGATCCACAAAACTTGCACTGGTCATTGAAACATGTCTTCAGAAACGCCAGCACTAACAAACTTCACATGTGAAGATCCATGGATTTAGAACATGGCTATCCAAGTGAACAAGGTTTGTAGAGCACTGACGGAACACCCATCTCTTCCAGTATGAACAATACACCATGCACAAAGGATCGCATCATTTCCAAATCCTAACACAGTTAGAATCCCATGAACAGAACTGTTGCTTGCACTCTCCTCTCATCAGATGAGGATAAAAGATGAATCCTGTCTCCAATGGTCAGTGCACTTGTGGATCACCATGTCCATCATAGTCATTGTGCTTGTAGTTGCAATGTCTGTTCACAGTTGCCATGCTCAGACAATTGCAGTGTCTATCTATCGTCACCGTGATTGTAGATTTCCGTCATGTTCATCCACAGACATCATGCATATTGTTAGAGGCCATGCCCATCTGGTCACTGTAGATTACCACTATATTCATCGTCACCGTGATTGTAGATTTCCGTCATGTTCATCCACAGACATCATGCATATTGTTAGAGGCCATGTTCATCCGGTCACTGTAGATTCCCACTATATTCATCCACAGACATCATGCATATTGTTGGAGGCAATGTTCATCCAGTCACTGTAGATTACCACCATATCCATCGTCACTGATTTGAGATTTCTGCCAGGCCAACCAGAGTCGCCACACGTAGATAGTGGGTGTGTCCATCCACAGTGCTTGATCATAGCTAGTGGCAGCATTAAGTTCCCTCCCTAAACACTCCAGAGTTAGTGTAAAATCTGAAAGACTTGTGTTTGACTGTTCCACAGAACACATCAGCACTAGCCAAAACTGAGGACTCTTTTGGCTGGTTTTGGGGAAAAATATCTTCAACACATTTGCACAACCCTGTAAACAGTAACTATAGAAACCAATTTTCCTCAGAAGTGAAATCCAAGGTTCGCTCCTGAAAAGTCTCCCTTGAAATTTCTACTTGTAAGCACCTGTGAAAATATGATACGGAAGCAAGTCTAATTCAACTGACAGTTTCTCCCTGTAATGAACATCACAGCAATTGTACCGTTATTGGCGGGGGATTTGAGACTGGAAACCAAGGTCAAGGTCAGTTATTTCGGTCTCCTGACAATGGTGTCACATAATGTAGCACTGCTGTTGGCTGAGATTTGTCCTCAGAGACCAACATATTCACTGTCTTTTTCCAGTACGAGAAACTAATCCGGGAACTCTGCAAGCAGGAAGAATACACATGGTTAGTGGTGAGGTGGAATGGGGTTTAACATCGAACATAAGAATATTTCGCTCATGATGACGTGCATGCATGTGTATGTGTGGTTGCTTGTACTAACCCAGACTTAAGCTGGTTTTATAGTACTAGCTCACTGAAATACCATGCCACAGTTACGCATGAACAGTGAGTGAGTGAGTTTAGTTTTACGCCGCTATCAGCAATATTCCAGCTATATGGCGGCGGTGTGTAAATAATCGAGTCTGGACCAGACAATCCAGTGATCAACAGCATGAGCATCTATCTGCGCAATTGGGAAATGATGACATGTGTCAACCAAGTCAGCGAGCCTGACCATCCAATCCAATTAGCCGCCTCCTATGACAGGCATGGGATACTGAAGATCAATATTCTCTTCACGGGTCTAAGTATGCATACCCCACTCAGAAACACTATACTGACTCCGAGCCGACCAGTCTTTGTGGTACCCATTAATGCCGAGAACCAGGCAGGGACCAAGTACCATATTTTAAAGTCTTCTGGTATGAACGCAGCCAGTGACTGAACTCGTGACCTTCTGCTCTCATCATGGTTAGTAAAAATATCCTAGTCTTTGATCAACATTGTCATCCCCTATCTAAACTGAGACTAAAGTGAATACACTTTTAGGCCACTTTTAGCACTACTGAAGCAGTATCATGGTGGAGGACACTGGATATAGGGCTCCACCCATTGCACACAGGAAGAGAAATTAATTTGGGAATTAACAAGTGAACACTTACAAAATATGCTATCCCGTCCCCATGACATTTAATCATTTTAGAAAGATTAAACAATCATTATCAGACTGACTTCATGGCACTGATGAAAATAATTTTTCTCCTTATATTTTATCACAAACTCCTCAAAGTCTGCTAAACTTCCCACTGGAAGAAAACCCAAGGGATTATGAACTGATTTTTAAAGTGGTTGCAAATGACAATAGCAAGGTCAACATGTACTTTAAATTACGACAATGTTTTGTGAGAAAAAATCTTTAAAACATTTCTCGCAAACATATAAACAGATTCTGGTTCAAAATAATGCCCAAATCACAATGAATGTTATGCACACTGTACATATCTCTAGAGCTATAGCAAGGCTCTGTGGAACTCACCTTCTCTAAGGCACTGCAGTCTTTGTCTTTGTGGAGATAGTGATCTTGCCAGAAGATCAACAGATCCCTGAAACGGTCAAAACAGTTGTTAACATACAAAGCATGATGTTAAAATAACTACAAGTAAATGGGAGAATATTATTTTACACAACTTTCATCGATATCCATATATTAAAGCAGCAGCCTGTGGTATGGGACAATCAATCCTGTGGGAGACAGAATGTCCTGTCGGAATCCTGTGGAATCTTCTGAAAAATTGACGTTTCCTTCATTTACTATAGGTGTGAATCCAGCTAAATGTCACTAACATTGTACTTCAAATCAATGCTCTTTGTCTATATTCCAAGATTATTAAAACTGTGCACCCTCAAAACTAAATCTACTAAATGGCCACTTAGAACCTGCATGTCATTATTTTCAGCCCCTTTGCAGTTTTAGGAGGCTCAGCTGCTCTTACAGGATCAAAAGACATTTCACTAGTCACACTTTCACTTTGGACATTTTTTAAATGACTTACGTTCAGAATGTGTTTATATGATCTGAATGCATATTGACATAAGTGCTCTAAAGGGATAGGCCAAGCTGTTCAAACCTGAAGTTTTGCATAACTGAGCTTGAGCCATGTACATCTAGGAGATCATCCTTCTCGTCACGGAGGGCACGCAGGTACTGGGGGAGTTTGTTCTTCTGGTTGGCGAACATCAGAAAGACAAGCGTAGTGTTCAGACAGCTCACGTTCTCCTGTAAGCCAAGCAAGGGAGTATGACAAACATTTATATGGAAACTAAGACTGAACAAACCAAAACAGTGTGGTATTGTTTGGGCTTTGTTCTTAGATTGTGGGTGTATGGTAAGTACTGGTGTCATGTGTCTTAAAAAATAAATAAAAATAATTGAGGAGCAATAAATTACCAGGCCGCAAACCAACATATCCCTTTATCATCGGTGCTTTAAAGTCAATTTCATGGATAGAAAACAAGCATTGTCACTAAGGTGACATAATCCCACACCGCAAATTATCAAATCAAACTTAAAAAGTAATGAAAGTTTGAGATGAAGTTACACGTCAACAAAAACATGACCAGTCAACTTCTCTTGATATCTTCTCTCTAGTTGTTCAAACACACACCTTTTTTTAAGACTGACTTTGACCTTGACATGAATGTCAGTGTATGAAATATGCAAAAATGGTACTAAAGAAATTGCTTATTGAAAAACATTCAAGGGAAGTCTTGAAAATCCAGTGAATACAGGTTAACATGCTGAAATCTTCAAAGTGTCGCAGTGACCTTGAAAATTATGTGAAGGTCACCAAAATTGACTGGGTCTTGCACTTTCATTCCCTAGATGAAGCTTGGTGTCAAATATGAAGCAAGTCCAGTGAATGGTTCTTGAGATATCTCGCTGACCATCTTAACATGCAGGTTAACATACTGAAATCTTCAAAGTGTCGCAGTGACCATGAAAATTATGTGAAGGTCACCAAAATAGACTGGGCCTTGTGCCTTCATTGGATGAAGCCTGGTGTCATATATGAAAAGAATCCAGTGAATGGTTTTTGAGATATCTTGCTGACTATCTTAACATGCAATTTAACATGCTGAAATCTTCAAAGTGTCTTTGTGACCAAAAAAGCATCTACTACTCAGACTGGAACTCGAAAGGAATTCACTTATAAATGATCTTTTGGATGAAAAAGGGCCTTTTCTAAAGTTCATTGAATTTAAAAACAAATACGCTCTTAAAACAAACTTCACTCTTTATTATGGTTTGGTTCAAATGACAAAAACATATATCAAGTCATTTGGAAATTTAGAAATAAAAAATAAAGTTGAATTACCAATCTTCACTCTTTATTATGGTTTGGTTCAAACGACAAAAACATATATCAAGTCATTTGGAAATTTAGAAATAAAAAATAAAGTTGAATTACCAATCTTCCCTCTAAATCTAAGACATATTTGTACAGACAACAAAGGGTTGAGGTATAATTATTCAACACTTATTGGGAAGCACTGTATCAAAAACCAACATATTAATAAGTGGGAACATGAGTTGCAATGTAACATCCCTATCAAAACATGGACCAAATATAACATGATACCTTTTCGGTATACCTGCCATTCAAACATTTAGTGGTTACAGTACAAAATCCTACACCATATCCTGTCCAACTAATATCCGTTTACAAAGATTTGGCTATACTAAATCAGATAGATGTGACTTTTGTTCCTACAAAACACACACATTGCAGCATTAATTTTGGGAATGTGATCTTGTACGGCCACTGTGGACCAAGCTGGAAGGTTGGCTAAAAGAAAAAGCTCAAATAGAAATTCATTTTAATAAAGAAAGGATTCTGATTGGTTTTCCAGAGAGAAACAATGACCCACTTAACATAATTATCTTGATTTTCACAAAGACTATATTTGACCATAAACAGAAACAATTGCCAACCTTCCAAACATTGATATACAAAGTCCGGTATTATTATATTATTACTAAATGTGCTGCTGAAATGTCAAATAGAGTCGATATGTTTTACAAACTTTGGTCTTCATGCCATTCTCTATTCATTTAATTGTATTGTGTTGTTGATACCTGTATCTACCCTGAAATAAAAGTTTAAGTAATAATTTTTTTTAAAAAAACCCAAATACTTCCGTCAATGCTTCTATTGTCAACTGGCAATAAGTTCATCTATTGTGTAATGGAAGAGAGCACAGTACCTGTGTGAGGTTCTGGACGTTAATGATATGGATAAGCTTGTACAGGTATTCCATCTGCCTCTGGAAGTTGCCGATGTACGTCAACAGCTTGCAGTCCTTCTTGGCGTATTCCCCTGCACACAGAGTCAATGAGTGAGTATGGATTTATGTATGGATTCCATGTTCAGCAATATCATGGTTGGGGTGCCAGAAAAAGACATTGTACTTGTGGCTTAACTCTGCTCTGAAATATACTTGACTTTCAGATAAGTCATAGATAGGATGAATGTTGGAGTGAGTGAGTCAGTTTAACGCCACTTTTAACAATATTCAAGCAATATCACGGTGGGGGATACCAGAAATGGGCTTCACACATTGTACCCATGTGGGGAATCGTACACGGGTCTTTGGTGTGATGAGTGAACGCTTTAACCACTAGACTACCCCACTGCCCCATGAATTGGAGGAAACCCAAAAGTGATGCAATTTATACACGATTACACCACCATTAAAACCAGGGCTCGATCTAAGGGATGTTAACCTATTTGCACCAGGTGCAACCTAAGATAAAAACCTAGTTGCACAATCAGAGGAGTACAAAAAGCCCGCAGTCTAGACTACCAGTTGTCCGACTTCCATTTTTGTGGAAGCCGCGGTGGCTGAGCGGTCTAGGCGTCTGACTTTGTGTGCTGGCGATTAGGTGCCTGTATGTATTACAAGGGGGTATGAACATTAAATGAAACCCCGAGAACAAGAATGGATGGTTTCTACGGTAGTCTAAGTTAACACTCATCACAGACGGCACGTGCATTTGTTTCACTACTCCAACTACTGCGCGTACCCCCTTGTAATACAAACCAATAATAGCGATTTGAAACTATGATCGTTTGTTAAACAACTTTTATCCTAAGTTGAATAAAATTCTGAGATTTTAAAGTTCAGTTGGCAAGGTAAAATCATGAGGATTTGCAATCTTAATTTCACTTTATGTGATTTACTTTTTTGTTTAAAGTGAAATTCATCAGTACGTTTTCACTGCAAACAGACTATAGTGTGCTAAAACGTCAAAGGTTTTGGTGCACATCAACATATTTCCATGATGTAGAACCCATGAAACAGCAACACAGATACGCAGCTATTCACTGTTTACAAGAGCTGTCATAGCCAAGAAGTGTCTACGAATGGCAATGTTTCGGTGCCATAGCTATTCAGAGTTTAGAAGAAAAATGAACTGACATACTTAGATTTGTTATTGATTTATTTCTAAAAAATGATGAACTTTTCACTAATAACTAGGTTGCACTTTGTGATATTGAGTTTCACCAGTGCAAATAACAAAGCACTAAATCGAGCCCTGAAAACAGCACGATTCAAGTTTCAGGATCTTGAATTAAGAACTTGCTCTGACGACATATATCTAAAGTGATATATATTTATTAATAATACCTGGGGTTAAAGCAGCCATTTCACAATGTGATTTGATATGATTTCCACAGTTATGATCATATTATCGCTAACATAACTTTGTGGAATGGGGATCAGGACTGAACAACAAAACCATCAAATTCAAACTATCCACCAGCATGCATGTTCAAAATAGTAGTGTTGGGATAGTAGTTTCAAACTGTTTTGGCCTGCAGCAATTTAATGTACTGGGCCCCGTTCCTCAAAGTGATCATAGCATCACAACATTTGCATCTCTATGTTAAAGTATGCAAATTACGATCACCTTATCACTACCATCGCTTTGAGGAATGGGCCACTGGGTTTTTTTTAGCAGTTTTCGTAATGAGGGCTGGAGAGTTCAGTTGGGCACAGGCTGGCAGCTTCTGATGTCTTTGGCCCCTGCCGGTTGTTTATATTTCACACACGGTTACACCACTTTCATACACATGAGAACATTAAGTATAATAATACTATGATTACACAATGCCATTTAGAAAGTGGTCAAATGTAACATGTTATATTTGGGATTACATTTTCTTAGTAAAGTACAGATTCTAGTACTTTTGCTGGGTTGAGACCTATCTGGGACTCGAACCCACACCCTCAGAGTCAGGTGCATTAGGCGTTTGACTTTGTGTGTCCAATTAGGTGCCGGACACTGAGGGTGTGGGTTCATTTCGGGGATGGGCAAGGTGAGGTGAAATTGGGTTTCACGTCGTGCTTGAGAATATTTCGCTCATATGACGACGTGCATGCATGTGTATGTGTATGTGCGGCTGCTTGTACTAGCCCAGACTTAAGCTGTTTTTTTTATAGTGCTAGCCCACTGAGATACCATGCCGCAGTGAAGCATGAATACTCAGACACATTATACTGACTCCGAGCCGGCCAGTCCTTGTTGTACCAATTAATGCCGAGCGCCGGGCAGGGACCAACAAGTACCATATTTTAACGTCTTCTGGTATGACTAGGTCGGGGATCAAACCCACGACCTTCCGATCTCCGGGCGGGCGCTCTAACCACTACACCACGGGAGGCGGTCTTTGGGGATGGGACTCCACCTGACAAAGGTTCAAGAATGTGTACTAAGAAAGTGTAATCCCAAATATAACATATGTTATAATACTACTACAGTAATATCAATTGTCAGCTGCTTCCATATAAGGCATGATGAATACTTTACAATATTCTATATACATCTAAAATAATACATGTGTATACTGATTGCTATGATGTCTTCAGTGCAAAAAATAGTGTAATAATTACCGTTATCTTCATTTGTGAAGTGTTCTAGAGATAAGACTAGGCTCCTAATAAACATGTTCGAGTCGACGAGGTTCCGGTTGACTGTAGCCACAAACTTGTCTAACTTGGCTTGTGTGTTGAGGATTGTGTCAAACGTCTTGAATGCTTCGATGTTAAACTTAACCAACTCTCCAAGCAGGTCAAAACTGCTCTGCAGAATCTCCTTGTGACGAATCTCATGCTCCACTATGTTGGTTGCAACATGCTGGAAGATGAACAGAAAGATATTGATGTGTTTCTATGGTAACACTTATAGTCTGTTTGCGATGAACTTCACTCTAAACAAAAGGTAAATCGAATAAAGTGAAATTAAGATTGCGAATCCTCATAATTTTACCTTGCCAATTGAACATTCAAATCTCAGAATTTTATTCAACTTAGGATAAAAGTTGTTTAACAAACGATCATAGTTTCAAATCGCTATTATTGGTTTGCATTACAAGGGGGTATGCACTTTAAATGAAACACCAAGAACAAGTAGTGTTGGTTTAAGTTAATGCTCATCACGTTCCGCACGTGCATTTGTTTCACTGTTCCATCTACTGCGCTCACCCCCTTGTAATACAAACCAATAATAGCGATTTGAATTTATGATCGTTTGTTAAACAACTTTTATCCTAAGTTGAATAAAATTCTGAGATATAAATGTTCATTTGGCAAGGTAAAATTATGAGGATTCGCAATCTTAATTTTACTTAACTTGATTCACTTCTTTGTTTAAAGTGAAATTCATCGGTATGTTTTCACTGCAAACAGACTATAATCCTGCACATGCAAGGTGATCATTTTGAATGTATGGGGGAGGACGAACAATATTAGTGTCCAGAAATGGGTGTGTCTTCAATTTCATGAAAATATTGATGAGTACAGTTAACAATGAACTATGTTGTAACAGTGGAAGCACCTCACCTGAAGTAGTCCTCTCCTCATAAGGAAGACCTGATCACAGTAGGATGTATCACCGCGCAGGTAACTCTCCACAGCCCGGGCCAGCCAGAACCTAACACATACCAAGTTAACACAACATGAACAAGTGTTTGTCACTAATAAGGCAATGTTCCCCGCCACTAAAGAATGGAATATTTATAACATATTTACTACTTTTTATTTTTGGGTCACATACAAGATACCTGAAAATTACTGGTGTCTGCATAATCACCCAATGTAGGCTGTCGACATAATTGAAGACATTGGGTGCAATGTTTTATGAGATATTGCGTTTACATAAGTTTGAAAAGTGGTCAAAGTGTTGTGGTGACCTTGAAGATAAGGTCTAGGTCACCCAAATTAACTGGTGTCTGGGTAATCCCCCAATGTAGGCTGTCACCAATTTGTCACCAAAGTCTTCAACATGACAAGCTAACGTTTTAACCAGTAGGATAACCCCCCCCCCACACACACACACACACCCACCCACCCCCTACAAGGCCAGGAAATGGATCAGGTCAACGGGCGTTGTGTCATGGATGACCCTGGAGTTGGTGCTCATTATATCAATCATTGGTTTGTCTTCCAGACATTAATCACACTACAGTCTACCGGTATATATCTACAATATTGGCGAGTGTGACCAACAATTCCGCAGGCTGTGATGGTAAAGAAGCAGCACCAACCTGAATGTAGATGTTGTGGGCTCCTTCTTCATGACTTCAACAATCTTTGTGAGAAGACCCTTGCTTCCCCGGCACATCAGGGATCTGGTGAATATATTTCTTGTATTAGAGGACCAGTAGGACGGTTAAAACCATAATGGCATATTGAACATAAGCTCCTGTTGCTTAAGTGCACACAGACAAATCAATTTTTCACTTCTGTTTTTAACTAGATTACCTAGTGACAAATATTGTTATGAGAGGCCAGAGAGAAATGTTTACTTGATATATAACACTCTTAATGAACAGACTTTCAAAGATCCTATTTCTTTCTTCTGTGATAAGTTGTTTATGGTGAGTACACTAAAGGTGAGGTGAAATGGGGTTTAACGTCACACTTGAGAATATTTCGCACATATGACGACATGTTATTAGTAGCATTATTAGTTCCCCTGTCAGACTGGAATAATATAAGAGGAAACAATAGGTATATAAAGATATTTACTTACCTATTTACGTTTTCTAGAGATGGCAGAGCCAAAGAACCAGCTTTGGCTGAAAAATAGACCCAAACATATTCAATTTCAAATAAAAACATGGTCCTTTACCATGTTTCTCATTATTTATGATAGTGTTCCAAACCAATATGTTTGCAACTGGGTTCCGATTCATAAAGCATTCGGACAGGAAGCAGGACTCTTAGGCTTTCTAAACATTTACTCTTACAGCACTTAATCGTTGAAAGTGAAACCATATACCCTGCTGTTGTCAACATTTACTCTTACAGCACTTAATCATTGAAAGTGAAAGCATATACCCTGCTGTTGTCAACATTTACTATGCATCTTATACCTTCAGTGACTATTTTGTTAATTTCGAATCATTTAAAAAAATGAACTTCCTAAACACTACTCAATTGTAATGGTTAATTAATGAGTAAAGCACCTGAAGATCTTACCATTGATTCTTTTCACTTCATTGAGCTCATTTTTGGAAAGTAGTAGATGCTTGTAGCTGCAAAACAAAGACAATATAAACTAACATTCTCAAATTATCAGAATGTATGTTAAACACGTCCTGAGCGGACGTTGTCCATGCCAGTCTCGTATATTTCAACTATACTGCAGCCAGCAAGCCAGCGGTTGAAGGCATGAACAGTCATTCTATTCTATTCACAGTGACACCTTCAGCAAGGTCATATCTTATCCATCCACTAGTGGTCGTCCGATAAATTGAAATAATCGAAGAGTGGTCGCATTGACAAAACGACCAAGCAATCGATCACGCTTTCTCATAATCGAACACAAACAATTTTGGACCACTTGTTTGCAATAACAATAATTTTCAAAAGGTTGATTTTGTCTCGACATTGCATAAGCACTACAAGCTCGTACCAAGTCATGATTAAGTTTATCTTAACAACTCCAGGAAATGTATGTTCCTAACACACTAGTCATCCCTTAAAGATGTTAAATTTGCAAATGCATTTTGTGCAATTTGCGGGGAAAAACGAGAGAACCGCATGTTTTTTCTTTATTTTTTGTGCATTAACAAACATAACCAGGGAAATTTGATAGATGACGCTAACCAATTATTTTCGATGATTGATCGGTTGTAATGAACCAATCATCAATTATGAGATTTACACCAATTCCCAACACTACCATCCACATAAAATATACTCTCTCTCAAATCATCACAGTGTATGATGAGCATGTTCTGAGCTAATTGTTTTATACCGCAGTAGCCACCAAAGTTCACTCCAGACACACCAGTGTGTAATAGGGGACTCATGCAGTTGGCTTGGACATGTAACTTCCCAAGACTGTCCAACATACTTCCAACAGATGCATTAAGACATTTATACATGATCCATTATTAGAGAAAACCAATATCTGCATATTAAATGAAAGACCTAAAAGTTGTTGCCCAATTCAGGAAATTCATTGAACTCTAATGTGTTGTCTTGGTAGATTGAAACCAATGAGCCAAGGAAACAATACCATGCCTTTCTAAGCCTGTGTGAACACAGGAAGTTATCTCTTTCAACACCAGTCAACCAGAGGCATTTACTGCCATGACTCAGAGTCCCCAGAGACTCTGAGGTCATAGATGAAGCCTATGTCTATCAAGGAAAATATCAGCTTGCAAAACATAATTGCTACTATAGGGTAACGCTATTTTTCAGGGCATTATCATTTGCAGAAGCCCGAGGTCTTTCATTAACTACCCGACGAAGGAGGGCAGTTGAAAAGACCGAGGGCTTCTGCAAATGATAATGCCCTGAAAAAAATTATAGCTAAAATGGATAGAATTTTTAATAAAATAAATCGGTTTTGAAGCATTTACTGCTAACAACAAACGACGGAGGTCACTGACCCACGTTTTTACAAATATGGAAACGTCATAGAACAAAACAGATGACGTCACTATTGAGCGTGATGTCATTCGACCTTGACCTTCGCCCATACTACCAGCCGCCATTTTTTTCATTGCTCAACAATGTTAGCGTTCCAGTCGATGTTTTCATTGCTGCATGTTGTAATTTATGGTACAATTGTTAAGGTTGGCAACAGCAAGAAAGTGCATAATGGCAGAGGTACATGTGACGAATGTGAGTCAAAAATATCGTCAATAAAGAACTGAAGTTCAAACGAGCCGTAGGTGTTTGAACATTAAGATTTGAGCTACTTATGACGTCAACTAACAACAGGCTTGATAATGGCCCGTCGTCAAGCAATTTGTGGTTAGCTATAATACATATCATACACCATTTGAAAGGTCTAATCCTACTGTTTATAAATATGAAATTTATTTTTTATCATATTATTCAAATAATACAACTACAACGTAAATAATGTTATTAGTTAAGGTAAGACATTAAAGCTGCAAGTGGGGGACTAAACAACCACAGAATCCTTGTTTACTGAGTGAAAGATGTAGCAACTCACTCTGAATGATCACAGAAACTGTGGACAAGTCTCAGGAACTGGATTTTCAATGCAACTTCCTGGAATACAAGTGTAAATACATCAGTAAATGTATCACAGATCAGGTAAACTAACATTGTAATAAAACACTAATTCAAAATGAAATATATTATCACACACACAACAATTCAGTGCCTATATAAAATTGCTTCAACAGACTGTACTCTATGAGGGATTTATTCAGGATTTCAAACCTGGCAGGCACTTGGGAAATATCACAACTCTACTTGAAATTCGGAAATTTGGAAATTTTAATATAAATTGTATATTTATATGCTTATCCTATCTCACGACTTGCACCTCTCTCTCTTGCTTCGACTTTTAGTGGAACGACTGTAAACTTTTTTTCCATAGGCCTCCTTGTCCATTCGCCCATGCACTCCATGATGCTCTCCTTAATTAGCTTCCTAGTTTCTAATAAAGCTTGCAGCATGCTCCACTAATTGCCTACTTGACTACCTTGAATGATCATTCTCATCTTAGAGCCAACGCTGTAATCTGAGTAGTAGGGAGGCCGGGCGGGCATCCATCGCGTGAGATAGGATAAGTATATAAATATACAATTTATATTACAATTTCCAAAATTTTTAAACTTATCCTATCTCACGACTTGCACTTATTCCATGGTTGGACGGCGGGCCGCAGAGCCGCAGATTACCCTTCTGTCTGGACAGTGCGAACAGCTGGTCTTTGAGCTGTGTGGACTGATGACAACCGTAGATTGCGATGTACAAGGGAGGCCTGTTATGCATGCTTGCAACTCCTATGCTTGTAGTAGCTTCTCTGGAACCCCTTGGCTTACTAAGCACGACTCCCAGGGAGATGGGTGCTCCCGAGTGATGTGGTGTTTGGCCGCAACCTTGTACAAGACAAAGGACGCAACTCGGCAAGTAAGCCTCGCCTCGCCACGATTTACAAGGTACCCCCGTAATTAAAGTCTTGCGACTAGAATCAGGCCAGCCACTGCTTCAAGAAGGCCCCCCAGACACCGACCGAGGCGGGTGAAAGAGAAACAACTCGGCATCTCCAAGGTTTAACGTTCAGTTCCGGGCAGCATCAAATCGACCCTCGCTCCTTTGCCTTAGCTTAGTCAAAGGATGTGCCCGGCAACTTCTGAGGCAGAACGCAACGAAATCCACTGGAATTCGGGAGTGTCACACTTCACTGACGTAATTGCTCCGTGGAGTAGAGGTCAGTAAGCGTGAATGTCGACACCTCTGCATCGTCATACTGATTGTGCCTCAGGTCCGTAGGGACATGCTAGGTGGCCGTATTCCGATGCCTTGGTATGGAGGCCAAGTGAAGTAGTTCTTAAACCCATATAATGAGAACAAAAGGTTGAAATCCACTTTTATGGACAAGGAGGCCTATGGGAAAAAGTTAACAGTCGTTCCACTAAAAGTCGAAGCAAGAGAGAGAGGTGCAAGTCGTGAGATAGGATAAGTTTAAAAATTTGAAATTTCAATTTGGGAATATTTACTGACATTTGCTGCAGGCTGTCAGCTTCTGAAGAGGCCAAGAGAAATCTCTCACTACCATGCAGTACAGGCAAACAATTATGGAAAGACAGGAAGCAGCTGGTAAGTTTGCAGCAAATAGCTGAGTATTGTCTTATCCACACAGACAATCCAGGTGCTATCAACTCAATGATTTGATATTTTCCTTGGCCTACAAAACTATGGGTCAAGCATAATTTATTTCAAGGGTCCTTCCTTGAAAATGTAATTTTATGACTAATATTGATATTTTATACTTATCCTGACTCATGCTTATTATGCTTGTCTCCTTCTTCTTGGGAATGATAGTGGAACACTTGAAATCCCTTGAAGTTCCCTTCTAAAAAAGCGGATGTAAAATCACTCACCTGTGCGTAGCGTCCCTTTCCTCCCTTTGGCGCCCAAATGGTCATATGATTGGCCATACTTGTCACTCTCTCCGTATGTTAGCCCGACACCCGGATTTACGGGGAACTCCAGAGTGGGAGGTTGGGGGGGCTAACCTCATGAGTCAGGATAAGTATAAAATATCATTTTAGTCAGAAAATTACATATTTTCCCTTATCCTGACTCAAGCTAATTATGTTTGCAGAATCCGTCGGAAACGGTGGCGGGTCAGGCCACGTTCTGGATTCACTGGTTGTAGATCTACGTCCTGCATTACCCCCCTTGGGAACTTATGACGGCACTGTTGAAGATTCTTTCAACTTCTCTCTGATGAGTCGGTGGGGGATCACAACTTGTCAGATTTCTTCCGAAACTTCTCCTGACATTTTCGTGTGGATTTTAGATATACTAATATTCCATTAGTTATCTATTGCAACTCCATCTCTTGATGCGCGCATCAAGTGGAGATGTGACCCTTCTTCATGTACGAGTATGTCCTATACAAGTTCAGGATCTATCACTCATGCTGGTCTGTCCTAGACGTGTGCATGGACTTTAACCATTTGCTTTCCAAAGCTTTGGCTTTCACAAGTCAAGTGATAAAAAGGGTGAGATTTTCTCAGCGCCATTGTGGAACCGTTAGTTGATGTGCGACAACAAGTGACCCAAACTGGTGAATGCCTGAGACATCTTCCGTGGAAATGTCTCTGAGGTAGTGGTTGGCAAACACTGTGTTCAATCTCCAAAAGCAGCCCTCCATTATAGTTGTATAGTTGTAATCGAGCAGTTTCCATGCAGAGCAAGTGTTGACGCCATGGCTCTGACTTCATGTGGATTGGAGGCTCGTGGAGGCTCAAGTCCTGCTGCTTTATAGGCCCTTAGCATAACGGCTCTCATCCAGATCGATATCGTTGCCCGAGAGACTTCCGTGGGCGTCTCAGTGGATAAGGGGATGAATAGGCGCTTGAATTTTCGTCTCCTTATTTTGTCCTTTGTAGGAAGACTTTTAGTGCTCTGACAGGGCATAAGGATAGATCCTGTGTATCCTGTGGCCCAGTCATAGATGTACGATGTCACGATGTGATGGTTCAAATCGTGTTCGTTCGAAGCCCAGAGCATGTATTTCTGACATCCACGCTGCTGTTGCTAGGGCGATCAGAAACAGCGTTTTCAGAGTCAATAGTTCAAAGGATGTCCATTCTAGAGGCTCGTAGGCATCACTGGTGAGATGTTGTAGAAGTATGTTGAGATCCCTGGTAGGAGCCTTGAATTTCTTTTGTTGGTCTTCCAACTTGAACAAGCGTAGTAGTACCAGTATCTCTGGTACTTTGGTCAGCTTGACACCCGTCTTCATGGTGATAACTGTGCTGAGAGCAGCCAAGTATGTTGAGAGTGTTGAACCTTTTAAGTGTCTCGTCTGTCGTAGATGACACAGGTATTCCGCCACTTGAGGATGGGTTGCTTTTACTGCTGTAAAGCCTTTCCTCGTTGCATATTGTTCAAATCTCTGCCACTTGTCTTTGTACAAGTTGCGAGTTGATCTGCGTAGAGCTAGTGTTACTGCTTTCGCTGCTCTGGCGGAGTACCCTCTAGTCTTCAGGCAAGCTTTGATATGCTCCACGTGTGTAGCTGGAACAATGCCGGATTCCCGTGAGCTTGCTTGGTGTGTGGATGGACGAGCAGGTCAACCACTCTGGTAGTTTCAGGGTTGGACTTCCGGTTCTTGTATGAGGATGGGAAACCATACCCTCGCTGGCCACCATAGGAGTAATGGTTTCAGGCTGTCCGGTAGTATCAGCGGATCAAGACTGTCGAGATGGGCGTTCACAAATATTTGTAGTGGGCGCAGCTGTAGTCTCCCTCTGCGAGTCACGTCTTGAGCTGAGGTGAGTTGACCAAGCATGCTTTGCCAAGCACATAGCGTCAATGGAGAGAGCATTGCTTGAGATATCATATGTAGTATCTTGACCCAACAATCCTCTGGGACGACCGTGTGATTCTGTGGTGTGATGAGCCATATTCACAGAAATTGAAGATCCTGTTTGGTTCCAACTCCGATTAGATTACTAGCCATCTACTGCAATCATGTCCTACGATGTAGGTACGTGGATCTAGGAGCCCTTGCCATATCCATCATGGAAGCGGAGAAATGATCGATTCTGGAATCATGGCTTGAAGCTTGTCTCATCATCAATCTGACTTACTGTAATATGTAATGAAGATGTTGTCATTCCAGCAAATCCGGGCGGGAACAATGTGCAGCATTGTGATGATGCATAATCGAATCCGGTCGACGAGCCAACGCTCTCGATCAGCAAAAATCTATGATGTACTCACCAGGACTAACAATGTCGATGTGATGCATAAGTCTATTCGATAGCTGTCTCATGCTTGTCATTGATGCAAGTCCCCAGATAACCAATATTAGAAATCTGCTGACAGGCTGGAAGTCCTCTAGATAACCAATATTTAATCTGCTGAGGGGAAGTCTCTATGACGCTGAACCCTGCTAACTGTACTGTAAATGGAGCCTTTCCCACGTTGAAAGAGTTGTTTACAACTGTAGACGACTTCCTGACACGTGACTGTGACGTCACCGGTGTTGCAGGTAAATGATCCTTGTAGAATCTTGTGCAGTCGTTGATTTCTTCATCAACACTCGGCCTTGTCCGTAACCTCTCTGTTCGGCTTGTGCCGGAGTTACACTGGCGAACACATGTCTTGATGGCTGAGTCGAAGTGCGCGAAAACTTCGCCGCATAGTACCGATGTAAGCAGACTGTTCCCCGTCTATTGTGACTGTATTCTTCAACTTTATAATCTTTACTGCAGTCGTCATCTTATACAGATATTCTGTAAAGTTGACCGTAACCGATGTCTCGCTGAGGAACTGCTACAATGCTGCTAACTGTCCCCTTGAAAACGTGTAAGCCCATGTGATGAAAATTCATCTTCAGTGTTTCATCGGATGTTATCTGACATCGTTACTTCAGTTGTGCGTTGATCCAACATAGCCATCATCTAGTTGTAGTGTCCAGTTGCGTTATCTTCTTATCTTCCACCTTGAAGATCTATTATGGGATTCACTGATGATCTTGTAATCTCAAACCCTGATGTTATCATGAAGGGCTCCGTATGATGAAGGGGAAATCTGCTATCGTTGAACGGCGAGACATGCTGACTCTGATTATAATCCTTCCTGTGAGTGTCTGCGCGCAGGTTCATGAAGGTCCAAGTTGAAAGATCCGTATCTGTGCACTCTGTAGAATCCTGGAGAGCGACTGGATCTACTTCTGTGTTAGAATCCTTCCTGCTGAGATGCTGAAATTGTGTGGAGGCTCCATCGTGGACTGCTAACGCTAAGCTGGCGTTCATAGAGTCCTCCAGGCTTCTAACTGCTGATACTTCTGACGGTAAAGATCTTCGCAAACGTAACCGTTCGTGCAGGCCTTCATCCGAGCAAGCTTGCATGGCTAATATTCCTTCGCGCAGGGCGACTGTCATAGGAGGGGTCTGCTTCTCTATAGGATGATCTGTAAGATAAGCTTCGCGCAGGCGATCGATCTCGATGCGATCTTGAATCCTTCCTGGAGGTTTGAGATAATTCTCTAGGCCTTCTCTAGGGTTTCCTGGACGTAGCTTCCCCTGTGTAGGAGTGCCTTCGCGCCGGCTCTTGATGGGCGTCAGAGAAGCAGGCTTCGTCTTCTTACTGACGATGGTGACCTCAGGTATGAGGATGGGTGGATCATCATAAACCTCTGCTTCTTCCGGAGGAACAATCTCGGCTGAGAAAGACCTCGTCTTCTGTGTAGAGCTGATCTGACTTCGCTAAACTCTTCATGGTAGTAGCCTTTTTCTTCTAAGAAGATGAAGATCTGGCCTTCTTCATCTGTGATGAGGTCAGCTCAGTAGACGACAATCTCTTATGGCCTCCGGCGTTCACCCCTGGTACATCGACCTGCTCCTGAGAAACGCTCAGCAATTCACAAGAATTATGAATATCTGCAGCAGTGGTTATCACACGGTTATCAGCGCAATCACTCGATTGAGACATGACTTGTGAGTACCTACGTACCCAGTCCTTTGCACGTCTTAGACTTACAGCGAGAGTTGAAAGACTGACTGACTGAGTTTAGTTTTACGCCGCTTTTAGCAATATTCCAGCAATATCACGGAGGGGGACACCAGAAATGGGCTTAACACATTGTGCCCATGTGGGGAATCGAACCCGGGTCTTCTGCGTGACGAGCCAACGCTTTAACCACTAGGCTACCCCACCGCCCCGAGAGTTGAAAGAACATGAAACAGTGCAATTAGGACATAATAAATGAGGGTCAGCCGCAGACACTTGGTACCTACAACTAATACAAGTTTTCATCAAATGTAAACATGAAGAAAACACATGTCAAACAACGGAAACTTAAATCAAATTTCCAACCGTAATGTAGAATATAATCCTAAAAAACATATACAGCAATAATTTTGATGTAAGGTACGAAAATATTAAAGGATATGTGCCGTATAGGGACCCAGGTGCTCTCACAACCGTCCTCAAGAGCGAAGGAGAGAGTGACAAATATGGCCAATCATATGACCATTTGGGCGCCAAAGGGAGGAAAGGGACGCTACTCGTGGGTGAGTGATTTTACGTCCGCTTTTTTAGAAGGGAACTTAAAGGGATTTCAAGTGTTCCACTATCATTCGCAAGAGGAAGGAGACAAGCATAATTAGCATGAGTCAGGATAAGGAAAAATAATGAGGCTCATCTCATAACAAAATCGTGTAGTAAGTCATAGCATACCTTACTTAATGATTTGATGATAATATTATTATTTACGACAGTTATAGTTCTTATCATGAATAGTTCACAATGAATTATACTGTGCATCCATTGTGATGTAATATATTTTGTTTCTGCTTCCATTCCATACATTTCTGTGCACTGGACACACATTTCCGTGACATGTAAAACCCCAAAGGGGTCACTGGTCTACCACAACATAATTCATCAGCACTGAGAATGAAGAGTTTCTGAGTGCCACTTCCAACAGCATTTTAGCTGTATCACTGCATGTCATCCTGATATGAGATGAAAGCACTAAGAGATGCAGATGTTCACCAGAGACAAGGCAGTAATCAACTGAAATTGGGGCCACAACTTACCGGACTGCATTCACATGCTGCATTGTGTCCCCTTAAACGATGCCTACTGTGGTACCGGTTCCTGTAATGAAAAGGAACACTCAAAAGACTGACCGACTGACTGAGTTTGGTTTTACGCCGCTTTTAGCAATATTCCAGCAACATCACGGCGGGGGACACCAGAAATGGGCTTCACACATTGTACCCATGTGGGGATTCGAACCCGGGTCTTCGGCGTGACGAGCAAACGCTTTAACCACGAGGCTACCCCACCGCCCGAACTCTCAAAAGAAGCCCTTGTGAGAGTGAACCTTCAATTGTGAAAGGGCCACTTTTGACGATTTGCAATTTCTTTAATCTCTGGGATACAAAAACGAGAGTCCAAAACATTTGGGTAAATAGTACTTCGGTCAAAATTTTCAACTCTTAACTGTTTCACCTTACTGTGGCTAAAAAATGAAAATCACAATATTTTTTTCAGTGTAGGATTGCTAAATTAATATGGTGGTGATAATGACTTAGTCTGGCAATCTTGGTTTGGTGACGATATGGGGCAAATCAATATAGATACTCACACTTGACATTTCCAGATGAACTGATCAAACAGTTCGCTGAGACCAGGTGCCAATTTCAGGTCTGCTAACTTCCGTTGTACCTGTAACAAGCATTCAATGTTTAGACCTCCTTCATTAGGCATAAACCAAATATATGGGATTATTTCCTCAATAAGGGCATTACGATGAAAGGCTCACTTAGCCAGCGTCCTGCCATATATACAAGTACGAGGCTCTTGATGGAGACATTTCTATGTCATCTATGAGTCGGTCTCCTACAACCCATGCTTGTCATAAGGTTGACTATCCGTTTTTGAATGGTCAGGCCTGCTGTCCTCTTTCACAGATGCGCAGATGTCTGCTCATGATATCAATTACTAGATTGTCTGGTCCCAACTCAATCATTTATGGACCACTGTCATATGGCCGGAATATTGCGGAGTGTGGTGTTTTACAATCAAAAGCCTGGCAAGACATTCTTCTTTATCACCGCTAATTTTGAAAATGAGGAGAAACATTGCAGAAAAAAAAATATACCAGCCACTGTCTCAGAATAGAACTGGTTTGAATATCTGTAAATATTCAGTACCGGTAAATATAACAGCATACCATGCCATGAATCCAAGAATACATTCTAGCCTTGTTTAAACATTATATAAATTAAATATTCCCTTTCTGAAACTCACTTTTTTCCTGTGTTTTCCCAGTAGGAATAAGCCTAGGACATAGACTACTTCAACTCTCTGTACTAACTCCTCTGTGATCTTCAAGCCCTGCTGTAGGATGAGAGACCCACCCTCTGTGGTCGGCTCCGACACACCTGTAACACACATACACACATCAATACAAACTCCTTCAGATTCAGGAAAACTGACCATCCCAACAAGAATATAAAAACATATCAACTAAAAAGAACAGACAAATATTTACTTTATTAGTTTATTAAATGAAATATTATATACCAGGCTTGACATCATGGCCAACATATGCTTTGGGTAAAGGCAGACCCTACAACATTAAAGTAAATTAAATTACAAATATCAATACTTCTTATCCTGAATACACTAGAAAAACTGTTGCCACTGAAGACAATAAAATTCAAATCCTAGCAATGACTCTGCTCAGTTCAGTAACAGTATGGCTCACTTGGCATTTCCTGCTAGTCATTTCAGAGATGAGAGGTCGCAGGTGAAAGAGGGAGAAGTGTGTTTGCAAGAATAGTAAATATTTTTATTTCAAACAAAAGTAAGGTTCACACATTGCATCTGTGCAAGGAGTCTGCGAAATGTATGCTGGTCCTGTGGTCCCTGGCTAGTAAAAATTCATCAGGACCACAGCATGGAAGTTTGCAGTGGTCCTGGTGGCCAGTGAATTTTTAAAGTAAATCTATGAATGTTATGTTGGACCAGTGAAGTACAGACAGGACCACTAATTATTGTCCACTCAATGGTCCTGTGGTCTAGTGGGAAATTTTGAAAGGTTTCTTTCCCTGGAATCATACCAGGGCCTTTTATCCACTTCTACAACCCATATATACACACAAAAAATAATCTTAAGTTGTGTGCTCTTACCTCCGATGTACTCCTCAAAGTCATCAACTGTCTGTGTTTCATACAACTCGTCTGCCATTTGGTTCTCAATCCACTCCATCCAGCAGTCGAGCTCGCTGACCATTCCTCGGTATCGGGGTGTATCTGCATGAAACAGATCTGTAACATGTTAGAATATTTGACAAGTTCACATACCACACAACATACAGGCAAACCACAACATCTTCAAGGGTTATTCTACCATTTCAAATAATAATAATAATAATGGCAGGCTAAATTGTTTATCTTAAGTTCAAATATGCTTAAACATGTTTACTTCAGAAATATGGTAACACTGTTCTTTAACACCGTATTCAACTGAATGTGCAATTAAGAATTAACACCTCTTCTCTTGACTAACTTGCATCATCAAGTAGGGTAGGGTAGGGTAGGGTAGGGTAGGGTAGGGTAGGGTTATGTATGGTAGGGTAGGGTAGGGTAGGGTAGGGGCAGGGTAGGGCAGATGGTAGGGTAGGAGGTCAAAGGTAAAAGGTAGGGGCAGGGCAGGGTAGGAACAGGGGGTAGGGTATATATTTAATTTAAAAACCAGATTTTCACTGCACTTACATTCTTTGGCAATGGCAAGCTTCACAAGTCGAGGAAGTAGTTCTGGAATTCCCAACAACAGTTCTGGAAGAAAGCATGAGAAATTGATCACCTGAATCACAGTAAAAGGTTTGTGAAAAATACAATTATGAAATGCATCCTACAAGTGTTATAACATTACAACTACCATATTTCTGTTTCTTTTAGATTTGTACATAATCAGCTATAGGTGAAGCATAATGAATATGATTTTGGGGAACCCACAGGCACTAGTACAATGTGAATTATCACAAGAAATGGAATTTTAGTTTGAAATAAGATAAATGTAATGATTATGTAACTGATTTGATAAAGAAATACTTACAACAGTGACACTGACAGGGCCACGATCTTTTAGTTTTTAATTCGTTTACAGTTTTTCATGATAAGATATATCATGACACAGAAAACAGACAAAAAACAAACTTGAAATTATTTGGTTTTGGGTTTTTTTACAAACAAGCAGAGGCCCAGATAAGCTGCGTATCCGGGTAAAATACGCATAGAAAATTTCCATTTACGCATTGAAAATAATTGTTGCATACCAATTATGCACTTATAACGTTAGATACGCAAAAAGTTTAAAACAAATGCGTATGGAATATATTTATAAAAATCGCTTGCATAATGAAAAAGACATTTATTGTTATCAAGTTGTACTGTCAGTACAGGATGAGTGATTTTTTATGAAATCATTTCCATTATATTTAAGTTGGTTTTGATTAGGTATGACATAAGGCAGAACATACCTGCTTAGTAAACTTACTCAATGACATAATACTTAGGTGAGTAAAATGACTGAAATATGCACATATTTGAAAGCAGTGGGTAACGGAAAATGAAATACCCACTCAATATTCATAATACCCACTCCAAAATAATAGAGTGGGTACAGTACCCACATGAGCTAAATCTTATCTGGAGCTCTGAAACAAGGCATTACTAAAAACCAGGTAATAAAACAAAGAGTAACATGAAGAACAAGTGTATGCCACTGATATGGCAATGTCCCCCGCCGCTAAATAATGGAAGATCCATATTTACTATTTTTTATATTTTGGTCACATACAAGATGCCTGAAATGACTGGTGTTTGCATAATCATCCAATGTAGGCTGTAACCAAATTTGAAGACACTGGGTACGACAGTCCATGAGATATCGCGTTAACAACAGTTTTGAAAAGTGGTCAAAGTGTTGTGGTGACCTTGAAGATAAGGTCACCCAAATTGACTGGTGTCTGCGTAATCCCCCAATGTAGGCCGTCACCAAATTTTGAAGACATTGGGTACAACGGTTCATGAGGTATCGCGTTAACAAGAATCGGGACGCCGGTGAATACTTAGTCCCCCGTTCCGCGTTGCAGCGGGAGACAACAAAGCCAAAGACAATGAGCAATATTTCACAACTACTTGCCTTGGTTGATGTCTCTCAGGTTCACAAACCCTCTACTCCTCTTCTGCTTGTTTTGAGCAAATACTGAAAAAGATGTGTACAAATATGGATATTTACATACATTAAGCTCACACTTTCAATAAGGTTTATGGACAAAGAAGACTATTACACTTTCATGATATGCCCAGGAGTTACAGGTATATGCACTACTCAACTTTTGATAGTATATCTGGATTCTAGCAGTCCCTGTCAGAAAAATAGTATTCAATAGTGCTGTGGAACTAAAGATTTCAGTGTTGATTTTACATGATTACACAATTTAATAATTTGTTGGTGTCATGTTACATCACAAGATGAAATATTTCCAGATACCTATCAAAAGTTGTGCAATATTTTTATTGATTTAGTAACAATTAACAGTGTCTTGAACAGAAATGTCTCGCAAATAAACTAGTGTGTCTTAAAGAATGTTTTTGTTTTTTCCACAACGTCCTTGAGTGTGAATATATTTTGATTCTTATTTGTCCTATTGTTTAATGTCCCACACAGCAATATTCCAGTTATATGATGGCATCTGTAATAATCTAGTCCAGAGCAGTAAACCCAGGGATTGATATTGTGAGCGACATTCACCACTGCCTGGGAACAATGACACAATCAAGTGAGTGAGTTTAGTTTTACAAGCAATATCAAGGCAGGGGACACCGGAAATGAGCTTCAGAAATTGTACCCATGTGGGGAATCGAACCCGGGTCTTCAGTGTGATGAGAGAACGCTTTAACCACTAGGCTACCCCACCATCCCACACAATCAAGACACTGAGTCTGACCACGTGATCCGCAGAGACATCTTTTACGACCAGTGTAGGTTGCTGCGGAATATAACGTAACTTAATAAAATGTACACACGTTCCAGCTGAACAGAAAAAACAGAGATACTTACACGAGGATTTGTTTTCATAAATATCTAAATCTGAGATCACAACAGCAAGAATACGACAGAAGTTGGCCAGTTGAACATCGTCGAGACAGCTGATCAACCCTCTCAAGTTGGCTGCAAAACATAACACAGGAGCACTCTTACTAGCATGCACAGACATTCACGACGGCTATCATACATCCTTTGCTTCAAAATTACTTCCAGATGAGTGAGTGAGTGAGTTTAGTTTTATGCCGCATTTGGCTATTCCAGCTATATGGCGGTGGTCTGTAAATAATCGAGTCTGGAACAAACAATCCAGTGATCAACGGTATAGGCTCAATCTCCGCAATTGGGATATGATGACATGTGTCAATCAAATCAGCGAGCCTGACCACACGATAGTCCCCTCTTACAAAAGCATTGTTTACTGAAGATCAATTCTAACCCGAATCTTCACAGGTCCAGTTCCAGATGAGTTACATATTTGGTGAAATGAAATGGTTTTGTAATTTCATGCAACATATATGCAGGTGTTCCTGCTTGTAATAGTCCCGACTAATGCTGGTTTCAGACTGGTGCTAGCCCACCGAGATACCATGCCGCCGTTTAACATGGATATAACACACAGACATACACAGACTCTGAGGTGACCAGTCCTTGTTTGATTCCCTTAATGCTGAGCACTAGGTAGGGTCACAAGATCTGTGAATGTCTGATCGCTTGCTCAGTAAACGCTCTATTATCTAAACCGAGGAAGCCATCAAACACTCTAAAACTTAATACGTCTATAATGTATCACTTCATTGTCCATTTCAACAACTAACTTAACACTTGATTCAAAACAGGCTAAATATTTCTTATAAAATATGTCATTTTTAATGCTGTAATCTGCAATAATCCAGCCATATGAAAGCAGGCTGGAAATCAAATCTGAACCAATCAAACCAGTGAATGATATTATGAACACCAATCCACACCAACAGGAATAGCGTGGCATTATACACTAGCCAAGTGTACTATCCAAGTCGCAAAGCTCCATTTTCAGAATTCTTACCAGCATTGGCACGTGGCATTAAATGCCACATTGGCATTCTTACTTACACAAAAGCTTCTTCAGTGTTATTTGATACAGTAAACAACTTACTTATTCTGTGTAAGTCGAGCACTTCTTTACGAGACTGTAGCATGTCCTCAATGAGTTGACAAGCGTTGACAAAGGTTTTCTGATGGGCTAGAAGTGTGAAGATGTAGTTGAGTGTGTCGTCACTTCTCATCAGCTCAGTGGTTACTCTCTCACCAACACTCTGAAACAGACAACATCTTTGAAAAAATCTGCTACATTTGTTGATGAATGCCTCAATGCTAATGTCATGCTGGAAGTTCTTATGATACTGCATAAATTAACTTGTCTGAAATCTTTAGATATTACAAACTCACACAAAACGGAGAGACATGTTTATCCAAGGAAGTTATTTTCTATGCCATGACTATCACTCTACACTGCAACACTTACAGTTGTGGTGATCTTGGTGAGAATTTCCAAGACAAGACTCTTGATTCGCAGCATCCTCTCAGACTCCCAGATCACTGCCGGAACAATCAACATGACAACAGTGAAATGAGATTTAATACTGTGTTCAAGATATTTACACTTACTCAACTCGCTCTGTGTCTGAATGCATGTCTCTGTGTCTGAATGCATGTCTCTGTGTGTCTGAATGCATGTCTCTGTGTCTGAATGCATGTCTCTGTGTGTCTGAATGCATGTCTCTGTGTGTCTGAATGCATGTCTGTGTCTGAATGCATGTCTCTGTGTCTGAATGCATGTCTCTGTCTGAATGCATGTCTGTGTCTGAATGCATGTCTGTGTCTGAATGCATGTCTCTGTGTGTCTGAATGCATGTCTCTGTGTCTGAATGCATGTCTGTGTCTGAATGCATGTCTCTGTGTCTGAATGCATGTCTCTGTGTCTGAATGCATGTCTCTGTGTGTCTGAATGCATTTTTGTGTGTCTGAATGCATCTGTGTGTGTCTGAATGCATGTCTCTGTGTGTCTGAATGCATGTCTGTGTCTGCATGCATGTCTCTGTGTCTGAATGCATGTCTCTGTGTGTCTGAATGCATGTCTGTGTGTCTGAATGCATGTCTGTGTGTCTGAATGCATGTCTGTGTGTCTGCATGCATGTCTCTGTGTGTCTGCATGCATGTCTGTGTGTCTGAATGCATGTCTGTGTGTCTGAATGCATGTCTGTGTCTGCATGCATGTCTGTGTCTGCATGCATGTCTGTGTGTCTGCATGCATGTCTGTGTGTCTGAATGCATGTCTGTGTGTCTGAATGCATGTCTGTGTCTGCATGCATGTCTGTGTGTCTGCATGCATGTCTGTGTCTGAATGCATCTCTGTGTGTCTGAATGCATGTCTCTGTGTCTGCATGCATGTCTGTGTCTGCATGCATGTCTCTGTGTCTGCATGCATGTCTATGTGTCTGCATGCATGTCTCTGTGTCTGAATGCATGTCTCTGTGTGTCAGAATGCATGTCTGTGTGTCTGCATGCATGTCTGTGTCTGAATGCATGTCTGTGTCTGAATGCATGTCTCTGTGTGTCTGAATGCATGTCTCTGTGTGTCTGAATGCATGTCTCTGTGTCTGAATGCATTTTTGTGTGTCTGAATGCATTTTTGTGTGTCTGAATGCATCTGTGTGTGTCTGAATGCATGTCTCTGTGTGTCTGAATGCATGTCTGTGTCTGCATGCATGTCTCTGTGTCTGAATGCATGTCTCTGTGTCTGAATGCATGTCTGTGTGTCTGAATGAATTTCTGTGTCTGAATGCATCTCTGTGTGTCTGCATGCATGTCTCTGTGTGTCTGCATGCATGTCTGTGTGTCTGCATGCATGTCAATTTTTTCGATATCATGGAGATAAAACCACCAAAATTCTAAAACATGAATGTGACTACAAACAGCTTGTCACACATACAACCACCTGATACTACAGGGGTGGAAATGACTTTAAAATTGATAGTGTACTCCGGTACAGTGCCACATGTAAAGTCACTTGCCCTGATCATTTTTCCACTATACCGACCGTTTTCTTGCCGATTTCTTAAATAAACAACATAATTACCATTGGAAAGTCAACTGGACACCGGTACGGTGTGATATACAAATTTGCTTGCCCAACAGAAAAAAACACTGGACTCGGACGTCGGGCAATGGGTTATTTCCATCCCTGTACTAACCATCAACCTTTACAACAACGAAGGGTACTGGGGTTGTAAACTACATTGTTTAACAGGAAATTCAACATCAGAGGCCATGAAAGGATCAATCTATCAAGATTCTTGTCTGAGATCAAACAGTCAGCTACTAATACTTACCTTTGCCATGTCTAACTGGGTGTGGGAAGAGCGAGCCGAAGATGAGCAATCGCAACAACACCTGGGGAACAAATATGTTCAATATTAGAAACAGAAACAAAATATTTTGTTCAAAATACTGTAGACATTTTTTAGGGTCTAAAGAAAGTACTACTCCAGCATAAGAAAATTCTCTACATGATTTATCAAATGAATGCCAGAGGCTGCACCCTTTGTTTTGGTTGTTGTTCAATGCCGCACTCAGCAATATTCCAGCTGTATGGCGGCGATCTGTAATCGAGTCTGGACAAGACATTCCAGTGATCAACAGCATGATCGATCTACACAGTTGGGATCCGATGACAAGTGTCAACCAAGTCAGCAAGCCTGACCTACCGTTAGTCGCCTCTTACGACAAGCATGGGTTACTGAAGACCAATTCTAACCCTGATCTTCACGGGTAGCATCCCTTGTACTGAGATAATATTGTACAAGTGGCACACTTAAAGACCAAAGAATGAACAAAGCGTACATCAACTCCTCCCAGCTCAAAGAACTCCACAGCAAACTTGTCCTGTTTTTGGTCTTGGGGACCTTCATCCTGAGATCGTCTGGGTTCAAAGTTCATCAGCTTACCAAGAAGCTTCTGCAATCAAGACAACAAAGATGTCAATGAATAAACAAATACCAGCCTCAATTAGCTGCCCTGCAGATAAAAGTTTACTACTATGGATGTCGAAAAAAGTGTGTCTTAATTATACCTTACAGGATAATCAAGATTATACAGCACTACACCAAAATCCCTGACAACGAAGCTTTCTGAATCTCTGAAGAAGGAAATTTTTTTTTCTTCTTCTACACTTCATACACTCAAAGGCATGTGATAGAAGTATGACAGAAAAGATTCATATGCCAAGAACTTCTAAAGCTCTAAAATGAATATTCATTGCCAACTTCATACAAAACCTTGTCAAGTGGACTGACTGACTGAGTTTGGTTTTCCAGCTATATGGCAGGCAGCGGTCTGTAAATACTCAATTCTGGACCAGACAATCCATTGATCAACAACATCAACATCTATATACTGACTGACTGACTGACTGAGTGAGTTTAGTTTTACGCCGCTTTTAGCAATATTCCAGCAACATCACAACTGGGGACACCAGAAATGGGCTTCACACAATGTACCCATGTGGGGATTCAAACCTGTGTCTTCGGCGTGACGAGCCAACGCTTTAACCACTAGGCTACCCCACCGGCCCTTGTCAAGTGGATCAATACAGACTAACAATTTTCCCGATCAACAAAAATGAGTTGTGGTAGTGACCAAACACACTGTTTCCCCGTCAGAACGTATGATCTCTAGACTATCAGGGTCTAACAGGGTCTAACAAGGCAACCTTCAACAAGACCTACCTTAAGACTTTTGAGACATTCATCACAGTCAAATCCAAGTTGTACACTGTACTGGTCAAGTGACTGGATGAGTTCAGCCACTTCCTGTTGTTCGCCAATCTTCCCCAAGATGTGAGGGGGGAGCTGAAAGGAGGGAACAGAATCAAACACTGACACAGGTATTTTAGAAAGTTGATAAACAAATCATGGCAGTCAAGTCCACAAATCCAACTTGACTTTGTACCTTTTATTATGGAGTAAGCACTCGCAAACGTTTTAAGATAACTTAATTTCAGAGCATCAGTTTCATACATGAAAGCAAAGAGTTTTGACTTACTTTAAGTGAAGTCAATAAGGCAAAAGTAAGTAACCTTGGTTTAACAATGCATGTAAGCTTAATGTCAGATTCAGGAATCTAAGTGGCAACTGACTAAAGCAGTTGCCAATGCGGCCTAAATTCTAGTGGTCTTCAATTAAATATTCAAAATGACTACTGCAAAATATTTCTGAACACAGAACTTTAAACTTCACATAAGAAGTCGGAAAAATATAATTTGACATTTTTCCCTGATTGCCAGTTGTTCCGGACTGCAAATCAGCTCATGAAGACTCAATGACTGCGCGCCAATGAACATTTTGATAGCTTTTTGATGTCATATTAATGTTACTATAATCAGTGAACATGCGCTCATCTGACATGCACAGACCATTCTCTCTATCATGGCAAAGTACTTTTTGCACATCAAATGTTGAGAAAACAAAGTATGATGCTTGTAACTACAGTGATGCTTGACATGAATCTGAGCTGATCAACGCACATGAAGACATGCAGAAACCATTCATGCCCACATTAAAATTAAATGCTGTCACAAGACAATTAAAGGATTTCTACAAATGAAGTACACTTAGCTTATTATGTTTACCCAATAAAATAGTTTTCTTAAAATGTCCATAAAAGATCATTTCAAATGTTTGGGATTACTTGTAGTATATACAATATTGGCCTGACTTTCTGATTTTACACCAGAATGAATGGAAAAATTATATGTAACCATTACGACTGCTACGATCCCCTTGCACAATTGGCAAATCGAACTGTATTCCTTCATGAATTGGGCGAATTCAATTTGCTATTTATGGTCACGAGAATCAAATACTCATGCATTTCTAAAGGAATGTTTTTATGTGAATTGGGTCTTATTTATAGTGGTGTGACGATTCAAAGATACACATTGATGCATTGATCCATGGGATCGCAGACACAGTGAATCGATACAAAGTTTTACATTGTTGTATACAGTCAAATCCCTGATGATGGAATCAGAATCAATGAGCTGGGGACCAAGTAATAAATTCGACTTATCGATGTATTCGAGACATAGGTATGTCTATGAGGGTAGAAAAAATGATGATCCAGTCCTAATTCCTCCGCCTAAGCATTTGTTTATCTAATGATTTCCATATCACTAATAGGGACACCTTATCAGTTCCAGTCTGATTAGCACAGACAGTGATTTCCGTAAAATCACTAATCTGCCTTTTGAACTCACCCGTCAATGGCGGAAAGGTGTGAGCCGCGCTGGTTTGTTAATTGGATCAGTTTGCTACACCAATCAACTTCTCATTGACTGACTTCGGCTTATGTATACAAGATTGCTGTTGTTTGAATCTCATGGGACCAAATTTCCTTCTCGAGTCATCGTGTGTATTTATGAGACGAATTCGTGTAACCGGTATTCAAATGATGACAACTATAACAGGGAATGGTCGGGACCGACAGGTACTTCGAGTTATGCATAATATTCGAGACACCGGCATTCGACTCATCGGGATTTGACTGTATATCCAAGCCAGGCAGGAGAGTGGTCAATAGTCTGATACATTTTTGTGATAACTTAACATTGACTTAATGGTTAAAACATATCAAAGAATGTATTTTGTTATTTTTTCACTGAAATTAATAATACATCAACTATTGCTTTGGTATTGTATTCATTACCCAATATACTTTGTCAAACATTTGTGATATGTATCATATTCACATCAAAGTGGATTCATTGCAGTCCTTGTAACCATACTGCTAAAAGGTTGAAACAATTAAAATTAAACCCTTAATGATAGGGTCTTACACATTTACCAGTTTGGTGGAACTCATGAGCACAGGTATGGTGCTGACAATTAGGGCTGTAACGAATACACTATGTTGTGAATATGATATGTATCACGAATATTGGGTAAAGAATACGAATGGTTATTCACGAATACAATATTGTAGTTAAGTGATTGATGCACAATATTGATTGCCCATGTTGACAGTGTTAATTTGTCACAGCAATAACCAGTCATCTCATGACACTCAAATTTGGTATGTAATAGTTATAGTCGACAGCACCATGTGCGGCCTTGGCAAACTAACATGACTTGCGCTACAAGGCTAGTACATAATGCATTCTTGCATATCTCATTTTGAAAAAGGACATACGTGTTCAAGTAAAACACACTCCCTTAAAGCAATTGTAAATATTCATGAATATTCGGTTCTGGTGACCACGAATAACGAATTGAATTCATGAAGGGCTACGGTTCGATTCACCGAATATGCGAGTGAATCGTAACAGCCTTACTGACAATCCATATTTACATACATGAATACAGACACTTATGAAACCATTTTCAATTTTAACTAAAGACTTACAATTAAAAAGATTCTTCATGGGAACTATAATAATATGGAGTTGTGTTCTTAGTCTTCAGTAATTTTTATTATTATGTATTGGGATGTAGACAATAGATACTTATTGATCTCGTACACATTTGAAAGTCACTGGTTTTAACAATAATCTGTGGACATCTTTGGCAATAAATAAATAAGGCTTGTAGTGAAAATAGGGAAAAACTGTGAAAGGGACGTATGGAGGTTGTCAGTTTTTAATGCATTTTAAAGGATGTCAGACGAAACATCAAAGCAAGCAAACTTTATATTAAAGAAGTTGTATACCCATAGAACTCTCCTTGTTGTTCATCTCACCAACTTCTAAATGCCACTCAAACAAGTTGCCACATATTATTGTTTGTTTTTTAACATTCAAATTTTCAGTTGAAAAAGTTTGAAAAAGGATGAAATTGTTGGGTGTCACAAAACTTTATAACAAGCCACTATTCACTCGCTACATTTGTTCAGTAACATCAAATGATTCAAAAGGTTCAGTTGTGCTTTTCCTTTACAAAACGACACTGTAAATTATTAAATACTGTCATTCATAATGTTTACTCGTGAATTACATGTCAAACGCCTGGAGATGTTTTTCACTTATTTTTATCTTATCCATTCCTAAGTTCTTGGTGTTGATTACAAAATGCAATGAGGGTAACAATTGGAATTGAAATTCGTCATAAGTCTATGCAGACTAAAGTGACGGGATACCATGGCTCTCCTTAACCTTTCTAAGTGTTCATCCTCATTGGAAACACTAGATAAATTTGCATTTCAATAGTGTGGACATAATTCAGTCAATTAGCTTGTTGGGCTAACAATCTGAAAGGCAAGTTTAAGACTGATCAAATCTTTCACATCTTACTGACGTGTGACCTATAAGTGACAAACTAATATTTTAGTCTAGTCCTTTATACTCATATGATAAAGGGAAAGATTTCCGCCTGTAACCGCTGTTTTGTTATTATCATTCCATGCCTAAGAATAGATTTTTTTATCTAACAAAATGTAACCCTAACCCCTCGAAATAATCCAAATAAACAGAAAACATTTCAAGTGGCGGTTATGGGCAGAACTCTTAACTGATAAAGCAAATTCTCCAAAGGCTAACTGTCCGTATCTTTACCAAATTAAATATCAAAGTTTGTGCGAGGCATGAGACATTGCAAATGATATTTTGATTGGCTTATTATTCCTGATTTGACATGAGGGCACAACTGTTATGTACTGTACATATAAAATCCAGATGTGTCTGAAATCTGAGGCCCATCTATATCTACCTTTCACAACTGGTACATTGTTTGGTTCTAGTCTGCACTTACTAAAACTGCAACCATTGAGAATACTGCATGAGCTGTAATTCTGAAGTTCTCTGTCACTATTACTGATATCAGATAACACAGCATGTGATGTATCCAAAATAAAATCTGATGAGTGAAAAGGGCAAAAGGACAAGTCACAAGTAAACACTGAAATTGGATTTTTTTTCAATAAAGGAACATATGAGAAAAAGTGCGTATTTCCTAGAAGCACCGATGTCAGCAATTTCTATGAGAGTAAAGCAATCAGAACTACCACATAACACACTTTATAAAGTTCGATCTTTAATTTCGCCCATATCTGAGTGCTTTACACTTTCTTTCTCGCAGGAAGTTCATTTTCTGAAAGTTAACAGGCTTTCGCCGGATACAAACCTGGCTTATCCGGGTGTAGCCAATACCGGTATACTGCCAGCTTTCATAGGATTGAAATATAGACTTTCTACTCAAGCCTTTTTGACTTTTGTGTCGCAACATTTTATTACGCTGTGCAAAAACCCAGCCTACAAATGATGTGAAAGATGGTCTAACTCCAGGCGGGTAATTTTTGCACGCATGCGCAATGCCTTTCTGACCCGGAAAAGAAGATCGCACATGCGCATTCATCTTTTTTCTTGAAATATATCTTTGATTTCGTACCACTTTTCATTAAATATTCGCTTCAGTTTTTAAAAATGTATTTGCATCTATATTTTCATACATGATGTTGTTGATATTGCGACAACAATCAATAATTTGAAGCCTATTGCTCCGTTGCCCTTGGTGAATATGAAGCTAAAATGGCGACCACCAAAACCTCATCTGTCAAAACAAAATGAAGATGATGTTTTCGTGTGACATGGTGGTCTGCAATTGTTACTTGTGTAATCATGTTGAGGTTTAACAATTATTGCGACTGGGGCCATGCATAGTTTGGACTGAAGTGCAACAGCAGTTATGAAACGTTTCCACCCGAAGATTGTGCCAGTTATTCTTTGTGATAGCCGTATTTATACCCAAAACAACAAGTTTATTCGATGATAGTTCACAGAAATGTCGGACCAGGAATCAACAAGTGAATCTGCATCGGAGACTGACGAATTCGATGACAATGAGGATGAATTTCAAAACTCGGAATACCATTTCGCTCATTGTGTAATTCCCGATGAAGAAGGCAAACACCAGGAAGAAAGTTCGACATCAAAAGTAAATTTACTATATACTTTGCTGGGGTCAAGTGAAGAAGGTCTGTACCCATATTACAGTATACATAACATATATTCTGATGACTGGGAGGAATCTGTGACTGGATGGAAGGATGTCGCCCCAAATCCGAAATATCACACGCAAAAGAAAAGGCAAAAACATGCGGAGTCAGGAAAGTACAAAGTTGCAAACTCAGCTGGGAAGAGTATTGATAATGTCAAAAAGAAAGAACATGAGACACAGCCTGTGTGGAAAGCTAATGTTGAACCTGTTACCTACAGATATGTTCAGAATAATGGCCAGTATCGGTTGCATAAATTTTGCAAAGAAGACCGGGACTGGTACACGGTAAGAAGGAAAAATGCTGAAAGAGTCTCACCTTCACTGAAGACCAGGTACATGCAAAGAGAAATAAAACGACTGATGAAAAGGGATTTCAGTAGAAAGTCTGTTCCAGATGAGAGTATTTCAGAGGGTAATCGTACTAAAAGATCCCAAAGTACAACATCAGAAGGACACAGAAGAACAACAACATCACCATATTCCAGTTTGGTGAAGAGTGCTAGTGATTTGTACATAGAAAATATATCATCCCGTCTAGATGAACTTGATGAAGAAATTAAGAGAGATTCTCAGCTTAGGAAAAGCCAGGATGAACAGACTAGAATGTTTCCTTTTAATTTAATGAAAGGAAAACAGAACAAGAAACTGAGCGACGTTACTGCAAGAGCCTCACATGATACACAGAGTGTTCAAAGCGCCTTCATCATCACTCCAGTTGGCCGCCAGGACGCGTTAAGACCACTTGAAAAGATTACACCACAGCAGCGAATGAAAGAAGATTTGGTGAGATTCCCTGAACAGACACTTAATGAATCTGGAGGTGGTGACATGAGTGAAAACAACAGCCAACCCCGAAAACAAAGTGGGAATAATTCTGAGGCTGATGTTGATACACTTCGGATACTACCTCTTTCAGAAACATCAAACGCATACATTGGTCAGATCATAAAAGGCAAGCAGGAGAATTCAGGCATCCTTGGAACATCCAAACTGCCACTTGGAAGAAGAATTGGAGGTCGTTTTGTGTCATCAGTGGCTGTAGATGATGTTAATCTCAGTGATGTAGATAGTAAGGCTTTATGTGATGATAGAAGTGCTCACCATCCTCGAGGTAGAAATGTCCGAGACCCAAACTTGCCAGAGATTTCAGGGAGAAGACTAGAAGTGTCTGTTACAAATTACAGATTACTTTAGATATGCAGGATCTTTTATCGGGTGGTTAAAAATATGAACTAAACTGTCATTAATTTCCTGGATTGCTATTGAAATGGACAGTTTTAAAATCAATACCTGTAATTACAACATATATATGTGCTTGGTAAATGAATACCAATTTTGATTCGTTACGATACACTGGCCTAAATACAATTGTAGTAATTACTGTAATACCACACTCAGTATACAGTGATGTTCACATATATAAAACTAAAAGTGAGAAAATTATTTCTGAAACTATTTCAGCTGGTATACACAGCACTCTACCCACTGATCAACTCAAATCTACAATTATGATTAAGTCTACATTCATTTCCTTCAATGATGGAATACAGCTCGGTTACATGGAGAATGTAAGTTTTGTGTACTGTGCTGATAAATATCGTATCAGGACAGTTGTATCACAGCTCTGGTTCATATTTGTGTATTCACCAGAAGAATTGTGTAGAAGTATTGCATTTGTACTATCATTCTTACTGTTTATGTTTTTTAGCAAGTAGTTGTAACTACTATTCTTTCTTTACATGAACTCCCAGTTTTTCTAAGTAGTTTATGAAGACAGCTACTTGACAGTTATCATGAAAGCTTATTATGTTGGTATGTTACCTGCTCCATATTAGGTTTAAAGTTCAGGGAAATTATTGACGTTCTTCCTTATTTCATGTTCAGGATCTTGTGATGATTATAATTGTGTTCATGATGCTTTGAAGACCAGTGTTCATGATTGTGTCAGTATTCGTGATATTAACTGACATGAAGACTGTTTTGATGTGAAGACATTGAAGATGCATGTTCATGAAGAAACATGTTCATGATGTGAAGGCAACATGTTCATGATGTGAAGGCTACATGTTCATGATGTGAAGGCAACATGTTCATGAAGTAAAGGCAACGTGTTCATGATGTGGATGTGCAATGTTTAGTGTGCATGTTTATCATGTTTATGGTGGGACACTGTTCATGATGTCAATACCCAATGTTCATGCGGGAACTTGAGGGTGTCAGTTCATGCAATATAAAGATTTGCCTTCAGTCTTCTGATGCAAACAACATTTCGACAAGTTGTGTGTTGTCTTGCATGATGATCACAATTCCAGCTGTGCCTGACATTTTTGACATCGTGAAGTTGCATTCATCAGCTGTTCATCTTGTTCCTCATCATCTGTTCTACATATGATACAAGCTGCATGTCCATTTGTGATGAGAACACTTTTCATCAGTGCCTTCCAAAGGAGTTGTTAAAGCAGGATTATGTGCAAAAAGATGTATCTTGTTAGTACTGAGTACAGTGGTTTGGATATTTAATACTCACTGCCAGTAGAAACAGTTTTACTTAGCTGATAATCAGTAAATCATGTGTACATGTATTCAAAGCTGTTTATAAAGTTAGTTTAACTGCTTGTTCTCTGCATGATTAACTACCATCGGGCCTGTGATCTGCATGATTAGCTGGGAAACAGCCTGTGCTATGCATGATTAACTGTGATATGGTCTGTGCTGTGCATGATTCACAGTGATGCGGCCTGCACATGGTGTGCATGATTATCTTGATATGGCCCATACCGATGATTAATTATGATGTGAATGATTATCTTGATAAGGTCTTATCGTGATGATTACCTTGATATGGCAAATAGTGATGATTAACTATGATGTGCATTGTTATCTTGATACAGCCTATAATGGTGATTACCTGTGGTGTGCATGATTATCTTGATTTCACCCATACTGATGATTAACTGTGGTGTGCATGATTATCTTGATACAGCCTATAATGGTGATTACCTGTGGTGTGCATGATTATCTTGATACAGCCTATAATGGTGATTACCTGTGGTGTGCATGATTATCTTGATACAGCCTATAATGGTGATTACTTGTGGTGTGCATGATTATCTTGATACAGCCTATAATGGTGATTACCTGTGGTGTGCATGATTATCTTGATTTCACCCATACTGATGATTACCTGTGGTGTGCATGATTATCTTGATACAGCCTATAATGGTGATTACCTGTGGTGTGCATGATTATCTTGATTTCACCCATACTGATGATTAACTGTGGTGTGCATGATTATCTTGATACAGCCTATAATGGTGATTACCTGTGGTGTGCATGATTATCTTGATACAGCCTATAATGGTGATTACCTGTGGTGTGCATGATTATCTTGATTTCACCCATACTGATGATTAACTGTGGTGTGCATGATTATCTTGATACAGCCTATAATGGTGATTACCTGTGGTGTGCATGATTATCTTGATACAGCCTATAATGGTGATTACCTGTGGTGTGCATGATTATCTTGATTTCACCCATACTGATGATTAACTGTGGTGTGCATGATTATCTTGATGTGTCCCATACCGATGATTAACTAGGGTGTGCATGATTAGTTTGAGATGGCCCATACCGATGATTAACTGTGATGCAATAACAGGACAAGCAGTGTATCAGATAACAAGAACGGTGATTGTATTAATGTGTAAACTCCATACATGCATTCCCTACTGATGATATTCACATATAGCTCAAGAGCATATCTGTATGAAAAGTATTCCCGTTAGAGTAAAATTTTATACTTGATCATGTGACAAGTAGTGATTATTAGTTGTCAGGTAAGGATCATTTGGCCAGGTAACATATAAACTAGGTTGATCAATGTCATCATATCCCAGTTGGATTGTTCATGATGTCAGTTACTGGATTGTCTGGTCCAGACTGTTATTTACAGACTGTCGTCATGCAGCTTGAATATTGTAGAGTGTAACTGACTGACTGACAGAGTTTTGGTTTTATGCCGCTTTTAGCAATATTCCAGCAACATCACGGCAGGGGACACCAGAAGCCATATCAACAGATACAGGTCTCAAGGTCACAGATATTTCCGCTATGTAACAGTATGTTTTGAGTTGAATTCTTCATGTCCTGTATGATTCTATCTATCTATTCTATGGAGCTAATTTCTTCTTTGAGTGGCATTTAGAAGCCTTGTGACGAACAAGAGTGATAGTTCTATGGCTGTACAATTTCTTTTTTACAATATATGCAACATTTACTTAGAAAGTGTAATCCCAAATATAATATATGTTACATTTGACCACTTTTAAATGGCATTGGGTATTCATAGCTTTCGGCTCTGGGAGCTGTGCCAACTTACACTTATCAGAGGGGTACACAAAGTCTGTGGTCTTGACTACCAGTTGTACAACTTCCATTTTTGTGGAAGCCGCGGTGGCTGAGTGGAATAGGCATCTGACTTTGTGTGCAGGGGATTAGGTGCCTGACTCTGAGGGTGTGGGTTCGAATCCTGGATAGGACTCAACCCAACAAAAGTACTAGAATCTGTACTTTACTAAGAAAGTGTAATCCCAAATATAACATATATAACATTTGACCACTTTCTAAATGGCATTGTGTATTCATATATGCAATATGTTGGTGTAGATGCCAACCCCACAATCAAGCGTCACCCTATCACCCTTGTTCATAGAGCTAGTGCCTTTATTTATGCAATGCCAGTCTGCCTTTCACTATAGTGAAAGCCCTGTATGTGCCTCACTTGGTACAAGAACTAGAAGACTCAGAGATGCACCAAGGCCCCAATATGATCTAGGTCAGTATGCTTCCAACAGGGATCTATAACATCAAACATGGTTAAAGCTTTAAGTATACTCAGTATGTTAGCAGACTGAGGAGGTTTTGGTTATTGTCGTTCACTGCTGTTTGGAAGGAGAATTTGGTGAACAAAATTTATTATAATCCACATGAAGTTGATTATGTTACCTATGTGCTATCACCATCTCATATGCAAATGAGGTCATTTTCAGGGAATCATTTTATTAATCATAATGCATTGATGCAAGTCACAGATGTTTAACTAACAATCACCTAGCATCCTATTACAAACTAGTCTGTCTCACAGTTCCCGAACCACATTATTTTCCCTACTGCCTAGCCCTCCCTGCAATGTAGTCTGTCTCACAGTTCCCGAACCACATTATATTCCCTACTGCCTAGCCCTCCCTGCAATGGTAAAATGAAGCAAGCCTATATTTACTCAGGTTCTAAATCTCTGCTCTCCCTGGGGGTCCTTTTCAATTTCAATGGGTTTATTTGTTACTATAAAATTTATACCTATTCAGAGACTAAGCGTAAGTCTATGTTACACACATGCATATTTCTACCTGCAACATGGCGGATGTGATGCAACATTTGCTCCCGACGGTCTTGTAGCCTTGGTGCATCGCTGAAGACTTATACAACTTCATACATCTTGTATTCAATCTCCCAAATGGGAATGCCTTGCAATGCATGATTTGTTAATGCCTGAAAACTGAACATGTTAGATACTACTCAACGGAAGTCAAGAACACCTGAACTTTTCAAATGAATAGTTAATATGTCATTCTTCGTTTGATCATAGTTAATCTGTCATGACATCCAAGATTAACTAGTCATGAAACATCAGGAGTTCCTTAACTTTATGTGGGTAGTATATGATATATTTGTATTCCACCATGTAAATGGTGTCGCATATGTTGTACTTGAAGCTGTTTGAAGGTTGTTCATATGTGAAGCAAACTGAAAACAGTTTTCTTCTACAGTCCGTTTTGAGACAAAATGATACCGATGAATTGCAATCTAACACAAAAACAAATAAACATAAAAGAATCAAACCAACGCGGACTGCAATAAAAACAGACCAACTCTATAAAAAAATTGCATAATTTTTGTCACAAAAATAAAAAAGTTGTTTAAGAAACTGTCATCATATATTTGTGTGTTTTCCAAGTTTGTTACAAGGGCGCATTGGCAACTAAAGGAATAGCACGAAAAGCGAGATGCACGTGCGTTAACGGGTTCTCAACAAACCTTTGAGCTGGCGAGATGACACGTACCCCAGCTGCACAGGCAGTGCGCTGTATGTACTTAGTAATTGCATACTTGGGTCACCCCCTGTCATTTTCATCCTGGAAGAAATCATAGACTTTGTAAATTATAGACTTTCATTTTCTCTCACTTTGTCAATCAGCAGTAATCACAAGTCTCTGACGTCACTAATGCACATGCATGTCGCTTTTTCGCGCTGTTCCTTTAGTTGCCAATGCGCCCTTGTAACAAACTTGGAAAACACACAAATAAATGATGACAGTTTTTTAAACAACTTTTTTATTTTGTGACACAAATTATGCAATTTTTTTCTAGAGTTGGTCTGTCGTTTTTATTGCAGTCCGCGTTGGTTTGATTCTTTTATGTCGATTTGTTTTTGTTTTTTATGTCGGTATCATTTTGTCTCAAACGGACTTTGTTTTTTAAGAAACATGGACAGCAATACATTTAAAGTTTTGTTTGTGTATGTTCAGAGATTGTTATTTTCTATGTTCATTTTATTCACTATATACATTCAGTATTAACTGTATAGAGTTAACATCAACACATTTCTAAACAATGTACTTGCTATAAGCTGGTTGGTATTAATCATTTTGTAATGTCTGTACCTTGAAAGATTTCAAAGTGCAGTAATGAACACAAAACCTATCCTGTGGTCAGATGATAACATTGAGATGAGGTAGTACTGAGTAAGGGTAAGTACACTACAGTTAAACCCTGTTAATGTGGATGTAGCCAGTTGTCCAGATTAACAAGGGTCGAGGTAGAATAAGGCCTCTTCTGTCCCACTGTCAAAGTTTATAATTCATTGGTATGAAAAGTGTGTCTGACATGTTCTAATGGCTGACCGAGAACCATTTTGTGAAAGGTCACTTGCAAGTTTGACACTTTTGACTCGACCTTTTGCAGAAGTAGTATCAGAATAGTGAAAAAGTCAAAATTTTGAAATTCAAGAAAGGATCTAAATTTGACCAAGTCACTGACCCAAGATGATATTTCCACAGAATGTATATGTTGTATTGATCTCCATCTAAGAAATCAGCTTGAGGTAAAGACGTGCCTGACATTAGTTGTTACTAAAACACCTCACAAATACGTTTGACCTTTCCTAAACTTAACATTGGGTTTACTTCCCATGTTGGCACAGTGAAATAACTGAAATACTATTGAAGACTGTGGAAGTTCTGTGTTCCTAATACATGTAGTCAAGACTTATGGTGCACATATCATGATTCATATTCCATGTTGATATAATCCAGCATTATGTTGCCTGCTCAATATGAAGTGCAGTATTGTGAAGATATTATATTCATATTATTCATATATTATTCAGAGCTGTTGATTTTATCATGTTTATCTTGATTTGAGTTTGATACACCAATTCTTTTCATATAAAAATAGAATAAAATGTTACATTGCACATGCTGTTATTTTTGAAGTTTTGTTCCACAAGATGAGTTGGATGTGCTTAGACATTTGAAGCTCCACTTCTACAATATGTGAGGAATGGAAGCACTTGGATCGTAGCACCAATACTTCAACACATAGCTGTTGCAACCTGAAAGCCTAGAAGTGTGAAGCTTAATACAATGACAAATGTTTGTACAGGAACATTTTGACGCTCAATTCTTAGACACATATATGTTGATTTGGAAGTGATCAAGGCATTCACTCCGATATAGGTTCTTGAAGTTTAACCCGTGAAGATACAGGTTAGAATTGATCTTCAGCAACCTATTCTTGTCGTAAGAGGCGACTAACGGGATCGGAGGGTCAGACTCGCTGACTTGGTTGACACATGTCATTGTATCCAAATTGCGTAGATCAATGTTCATGCTGTTGATCACTGGAATGTCTGGTCCAGATTTGATTATTTACAGACTGCCGCTTATTGCTGGAATATTGCTGAGTGTGGCATTAAACAATAACCAACCAATTAACCAGTCTTGAAGTTTATATGGTAGGTGTCTGTGTTTTATGCACTGGTGAAATAATGCCAGAAAATATCTCTGCAACTATTTTCATGGTGACTTCAAGTCAACCATTC